TTAACTGAAGCGAGGATAAGGGAGTAGGAAGAAAGAGAGAGAGAGAGAGCGTGCACAGTGAAACGCTATTAAGCGCCGACACACACCTGCTCAGCCACTTGCCTCATTGCATTGTTAGCATTAAGAAACGTGCTTTATATTTTACTGACATTTAGGTAATGAAATAGTAAATAATATTCCAAATTTTGGTCCTTAGTTATACCTAATGTATGGGTAGTTGGACCTACGCCACAGTGCATTGTTTCTCAACCTGTGTACAGTAACATTTTGGAAAAAATTATAATTCATGAAGTGTCGAAATACATGGTACAATGTTTATTCTTATATAACAATCGAACAGATTAACTTAATGTACCAGAATCCTTCTTCAGGAGCAGACGGTCCCCAGTTGCTCAATCAATGCAACTTCTTTTAGGGAATCCAAAAATTCATTCGTGTTCCAAATACCCAGCGTTGGATACAACATCAGGCTAGTTAAATTCATTTCACATCTTCACAGTCTGTTTCTTGAATATTAGCTTAACTTAACTAGGCCTGTTGAGTTGTCTTTTTTTAATTCTTCTAACTAAAATTTAATATGCATTTGTCGGCTTACCTATGCATGCTAATGTAGCAGCCATCTCATGATCCCTGATTTGGTAAGTCCAATAATATTTTTGGTAGCACCGACTGGTAGGTAGGTAGGTAGGTAATAATATAAGACCCAGGATGAGATGGCTAGACAATGTTGAGAACGACCTGAAGAAGATGAAGGTGAAAGAATGGATAGAGAAGATGAGGAGGTGAGAGCAGTGGAGATGGGTTGTAGAGGAGGCCAAGGCTCACCCAGGGCTGCAGTGCCGAGTGGTAGATAGGTAGGTAGGTGGGTGGGTAGGTAGGTAGGTAGGTAGGTAGATAGGTAGGTAATACTATTTTGGGAGAAGCAAATTAAGAAGCTCCTCATTTTGCATTTTTCTGCATCCTCTTGTTACTTGCTATTTCTTAGGTTGATATATCTTAGGATATTAATGCAACTATTGACACAAAAACAGATTCACTGCAGTCTCGTTTCAATTATAATTAATAGCTCCAGATATCTGTGTTGTTTTAATATTCAAGGGTTAAAGTGCTATGGCACCCTGTTATGATACCTTTTACACTATTTGTCACATACACGTGTACATCCACTGGACTGTGAGGTTGGATTGAAAATGTATATATAAAGCATATATATATACAATCCAAAGTATTAGAATCATCTTCATATAAAAAAAGAATAAATGAATACATATATAAATTCAAACAATGTGTTTCTTATTATGCTGTAACACACTAATTTTATGCTAATGTTGAGTTACATAGGTGAAGAAAACCTGCTAAAATGTCTGAAAAAGATTGCAGGTTGTCATCAAGATTGTAACCAGGACTTTGTATATCTCCTTATTTGTCGGGCAATTTACCGCATTGCCTGCTGATGGAGATTCAGAGAAGATATGGTAGGACCATTATAAATGATGACTCCGGAGGACTATTGCTGGAAGATGTTGCGATTCATTTTAAGATATAACCTCGGAATTCCATCACCAAATCACGGCCCGCAAAAGAAACATTCTGCCCACGAGGATGTTAATGATACAACATTTACAAGTTTCTCATTCTCATACACATTACAGAGAAAGGACCAAAATGGCAATGAATAAACAAGTCTATAAATAAATAATAATGAAGGTTTTAGTCAAAACGCAAATTTCTTGCCCAAATTACGCTTATTTTATACTTACATCTCCTACAGCATATCTACGTCAATTTGCCGATCACAGTAGCCGCGCTCTCTAAGGTAGGCTACGCACTGGCATGCGTCAAGACATGTAACAGTCAAGACACGATGTCTGCGACATGACGCAAAGAAAGGAGCACAGTTGAAACGAATGAGATTATGAAAACCGCCGCACACCGGTCTGAGTCATGATGCTGACATCAGCTTCAAGCTGACGAATCATGGATGAAGCAAGACTCCATCTTTTGTCTCATGCCTTGATGTCTGTCTTGACGCAGTTGGTCTGCGGCCGCCCTAAAGCATGAACCAACTTCGCCCGCTCGAACACTGGGATCGTGGGTTCGAATCCGACTGGAAGCATGGATGTCTGTTTGCATTTATTCTGTGTTTGTGTTGTTGTGCGTGTAGGTAGCGGCAGTGCGACTGGCTGATCCCCCGTCCAAGGAGTCCTACGGACTGTGTATAGGATTAAGAAATTGAAACGTGGCCAAGGTCCAAAAAAAGGACTGTAGAACCTAGCTAGATAGATCTACGACTAGTTATGAGAAGGTGAGATGTACCAGTGGACATTTAGATTAACACTTATTCGAACAAGTTGTGATCATCATTCAGAATTTAGTTTGCTGAGTCGGAATTACAGCATTAATTCGATTATAAGGCGAGAATTTTCTTCCCAAATACCTCTTCTTAGAAAAGGGGGACTTATTTTCGGATATTTATGAATAAATATAATGAAGATGATTATGGGAATTTCTAACTGCTAATTAAATTTCAAATTTGTGATTTTTTAACAATAATGTTCTATTTATTTTTGCTTACAGCCTCGGCACTAAATTACATATTAAATTTTATCAAAGCAAAACATTCTTTGCCGATTTGTTCGTTAGAAAATTAGGGGGTTGTCTTGTTATACGGTGACTGTTAACGTTATTCTTTAGATTGTCCTGAATGTTGGGCTATTCTGTTAATGCGAACAACTTGTAACTATCCGGCATTTTTTTTCTACAGAACTTTCTCGCGAGGTTGTCTGACTTTAGGTCATTTCGAAATATTCACATCAGTGGCGAGAGTAAAAATAATTGCCTTCTCCTAGCCAATATGGACGGAGAACACTGGAGAGCATCTGCCGGGCCTGGAATCGAACTGATTATCTCCTTAATTCGAGTGAGACGTGAAACCACGAACTTTCAGATGCCTGGAGTAATTTTAACCTGTCGTTTTCTCGTAATGAAATCGCTAGTGCAAAGCAAAGTTCTGTGGCGTGCAATTATGTGCGTGTTCTGTTGGTATACTGACGTGGTGGTAACGGTGTGCTGAAGATGTGGGTCTTCTGGTTCCGAGCAAAAGAGATTGAGGAACCAGGGACCGTTAGGAACAACTGCAGTCTGCCAAGGCGCGTAACGCGGCTGTAGTGAGGAGTGACAGGACACTCAGCAAACTGGTGCCCGCCTCAAGCAATTCTCAGATGTTTGTCTGACTCATGCTACTATGCTGGAATTACGTATATGTAATTTAACCTCAGTGTACAATCTGCTGAGGTCATTTACCGTTGACTCTATCGCGTTCAGGTCTTGAAAATTCTCAATATCTGCGGTAGTGTATTTAAAGTTCCGAAGGATTCGACCTTAGAGGATTAACAATATATGCAGTTCTCAGTGCGTGAAGGGATAAAGATAGGGGGAAATCTCTGCATGAACTTAAGAACGTTATGAAGATGAATGGGGGACTGGAGACAAAATTCCCGGCATTCTTAACCTCTGCACTAGGCAGATGTGGTTGGCCATCTTCATGCTTTAATAAACCACACCTTAATAAAGAGACGGGCTGCAGGCAGGATGACTGGGTAGAGATTTTTCCCTTTGCTGCCATATCCACATAGGTTTTGGGACAACCATCGTCGTACCAAATTGATACCTGGTGCTCTCTCCTGTGGGCGAAGTGGCAAGGTCTTGAAGCCGTTCAGCCAGCTTCTACTACAGAGTTCAAGAATGCCTGGAGCTTTCTCTCAGTTCCACCGTGTGTCTTCATAGAATGGTGCAGAATGGTACTTCGGTACGTGTTCTTCATATTTACCTGCATCTTATAACGAAAGACAAATATTTTTAGCCAAAACGTTCTTTTCTGGGACGAAACGTTCTTCTTTCCAGGATAATGATTTTCCACTACCCAGCCACCAATACAGGAAAGACAATATTATATACAAGTATTTGATAAAATATAAATATTCGGGATATGAAAACATGTCGACCAATCTCCCAAATAACTGATCTGATACAAGTTGTATATACGACATCTACCAGTTTTAATTTTGAGGACGATGCACTGACTGTCCCTGGTACTGTTCCCGCTTCATGAGTTGTCATACTGGAGACAGGTTGTTAAACAAATAAAAAAATGAGGAAGTATTGGTAAAAACTTGTTGGAAAAGATGTCCATTAAAGTAATATTATTTACTGGATGTTTCAAATATTTCTTTAGCAACCTACGTTCCCAAAATTTCCAGAATTTCTCATGCATTATTTTACTTATTTGAGTTTTTCAAAACTACTAAAATGAGTCGCATATTTTCCCAAACACAAATCACAGCTTCTTAAGAAATTTGAATTACATGTTACACATTTTCAAAATTTGTAGTTCCTGTGAAGGCTTCTCACAATGAATCATAAACGCCGAGACGACACCGAGGAAAGTATGGCGGTAGTTAAATGCGCAATGACAATGCGCAGGGATGTGTCAGAATGGGCGGCCATTCAGTGTTGGGTACTGAAGTTCTGTAAGGTAGTGGATATTTTAAAGAGAGTTGACATACAAATTGTTAAGTTTCCTTTTGTGACCATATTCATATAACTCGAACAAAAAATGATGTACTTTGCCCCGATCTTCTCAAATTTTACTGTGCTAAAAATCAATTTGCTCACTATAGAGACGTTAAGAATATATACTCTATTTCTTTAATCAGTGTTCTGTTATTTATCACCATGGTACCTCGTAGTGGTTAAGGCAACACACGGTTGCTAAGCTAAGAAACTACGGTGGACATGGATGGCTTTTGCACTATGAAATAGGTGATGGTCTCCCAGCGATCAGCCCAAAGACGACGTTAAAAAAAAAAAGGATCAAAGAATTTTATATATACAGAAGAAGATACTTTTTAACACGACTGTGGAGCTCTCCCACTCTCACTCAATACAACCTTAGTTCTTCTGCTTACAGCAAAAAAATATCCAAGAAACAGATAGCTTACCTTGGGACGCTTCCATACGAATTGAAACGGTGGTGTCTGGTGGTAAAATACTGAAGTTTGGGTAGCGGGAAACTCAGGATCTTCCCACAGTTCCCCGCGCTTCAAACAGGAGCGCCTGATGCGCTCGTAGTCCGTCATGGGGCACACCTGCATCAGAAATACAATCTCAGGGGCAATCGCAACTCATACATACGGTACGGACGCCTAAAACAGAAGCCTACTCATCAGGGACACCTGAAATAGAAATGAGCTCGCAACTCATACATACTGTACGGACGCCTACAACAGAAACCTACTCATCAGGGACACCTGAAATAGAAATGAGCTCGCAACTCATACATACTGTACGTACGCTTACAAGAGAAACCACTCATCGGGGACACCTGAAATAGAAATGAACCCTCAACTCATACATACTGTACGTATGCCTACAACAGAAACCTACTCATCAGGGACACCTGAAATAGAAATGAACTCTCAACTCATACATACGGTACGTACGCCTACAACAGAAATCTACTCATCAGGGACACCTGAAATAGAAATGAACTCTCAACTCATACATACTGTACGTACGCCTACAGCAGAAACCTACTCATCAGGGACACCTGAAATAGAAATGAACTCTCAACTCATACATACTGTACGTACGCCTACAGCAGAAACCTACTCATCAGGGACACCTGAAATAGAAATTAATTCGCAACTCATACATACTATACGGACGCCTACAACAGAAGCCTACTCATCAGGGACACCTGAAACAGAAATACACTCGCAGCTGATACATACTGTACGGACGCCTATAACAGAAGCCTAATCATCGTGGACACCTGAAATAGAAATAGTCTCGCAACTGTTACATACATTACCCAGGGACATTTGCGACAGAACCACCGATAACAATGGGACAGTCCCTTAGCCAGTCTGGACGCCGTTACGAAGAGAAAAATGCCTGCCCGTACCGCGAATAAAACCCAGCTTTTTGAGTCTATAGCCAAGATACATATTCTATTAGATTTGTGGTTGTCATAGCGATGGTTGTCTTCTCGGATGTGACGGAGTGTACTCTGATAGAAGTTTACCAGCGTTTCGGAGGAACTAGTTGTCTACATGGGTTTATGCAGGGTCTAAGAGTACCTAATTCAGGGATGCAGCAAGAAATGCTTTTTGTCTCTTAGAAGTTTACCGATGTTTCAGAGGAATGTACCGCCCCCATAGGCCTATTCAGGGACATATGAAGCATGCAGTAAGCAAGGCTTCTTGTCTCATAGAAATTTACTGACGTTTCAGAGAAATGTACTGCCTATTCAGGGCCAAAGAATAAATTAATCATGCAACAAGCAAGGCCTCTTGTCTGATAGAGGTTTACGAACGTTCCAAAGGAATATAAAGCCTCCATCTTCAGGGTCCAAGAGAAGGCCAAGGAAGCTACCAGTGTCGGTGAATTTATCACAAGACTTCACAACGTCACATCCCAGAAGACACTGCTATCATTAACCAAGGCTGGTTTCGATTAAATCGAACACAAGTTTCTGCAGGTTCACTGAGACGACAGACAAGAATGATTGGAAAATGTAGAACTATGAATCTGAATTTGGGGAGAGTCTGATACAAATGATAAACTCCATATGTATTTGTTTTCCCGTGAGTAGGATCTGCATCCTGCATAGTATGCAACTGCTCGTCACGCGAGGAGCAGTGGGTGTCCACCAGGCGACCTTGAGACTGGGGTCAATGAATGTAGCAGCTAATGACGTTGGCGGCAGAGCACAGCGGTGGTTTGCAATGTTTAATTTACAATGAAATCGGGTCTCTCTCTTTCTTTAAAGACGCTGGTTTCCTATATCACTACTCATGTAAGTTGTGATTCTGCATATCACGTTAGAATTTGTATTCACTTGTTGCAGATGTAACACAATATCAGTTAACCTAAAATATTCTCTCGTATTAACGGGAATGCTCTGATTTTAACCTGCCAGTCAATTGGTAGAACAATAGCACAGTGTTGTGAGTTGTGCATTGAACATGGAGGATCTCATTTCGAACAATTTTTGTAAATTCAGTAAATAATAAACAAAATTATAGCGTATTTTAGTGAACATTTTACTAATGAGTTAGCTCATTTCTGGGCCATTCCGTGTTGTTGCGAAGCTATTAGTATTACATAACACATATAAGATTGTACAGAGTGAGAAACTATTTTTTTCTGCATTTTGTTAAATATCTATTCACCATATCGGAAAAAAATTACAAAAAAAAAAAATGTAGATTTTCATGAGATCAGTGTTGTCATGCATCATTTTAGTTACAGACCTACGGTGAGCCAGCTTTGAGGACATTGATATTATTCCATCTTACTTTCGTGTAGACTTGTCTCTCACCCTAAAGGCGCGTCCACATTACTCGTGCTCGTGCTCGTGAGTAATGTGGACGATATGACAAGTCACGGGACAAGCAAATTTTAAAATTTTAATTTAAAAACTATAGCCAATAAATTAAAATACGACTACAGCCTATACACACTACGAGTAAATATACGGATCCTCACGCGGCGAAGCCTGGCGAGCAACTGAAGTAGGGTGGATGAAGATTTACGAGCACAAGTAAAAGCCAGACGAGTCTCCCGACGAGCACAAGCCTGGCGAGCACGAGTAATGTGGACGCGCCTTAAAGAGAACACAGATTAAAAGTGCCTGGAAATAATGTGCTGATGAAATTATTTGGGTATAAGTGAGAGAAAGCAAGAGGACGAAAAACACAGTACAAGTAGGAGTTCATAATTTGTCGTTTTCATCAAACATTATTAAGGCGACCAATTAAAGGAGGAGAAATGCCGGGGCACATTGTACGGATGAAGGAAGTGATATGTGCATAGAAAACTTCAGTACTATAAACTGAAAGGAAATGAGAAAACATATGATCATATGAGAAAATAGTATTAAAATGTCTGGGGCCTAGTGGCTGGTTCTTGTCAACACGCAATGAAAGTTCTGCTTCCACAGAAGGCGCGGAATCTCACAGCCAACTGCGCGGATATAAATTTCAAGGGCAATCTTCACGAAACCCTTTCCATAATTTTGGAGAAGAACGTAAAGAATGGATATGACCTCCTTGTTATGCGTTCCATTTATGTAAATAACAAAGATCAGCTAAGCAATCTTCTCGCTAAAAGAATGTGTGTTTATCTCTGTAGTGCATATGTAATGGCTGTGAATTTTAATATCCGTATTTGTGTTACTCATCTGCCATTACTATTACATCTCTCTGTACGGTGGCCATCTAATTTTCATAGCATTAATTCCTAGCCCCCAGCATGACAGCTGTACGAATTTATGAGATGGGTGCCATACAAACGTCACTTAATACAGGGCACTAATTTATTTTGTGGAAATCGTTTGTTACGATATTTCATTGTGATTATAAAATATCATGGCGGCAGCGCCAGCTTTCCCAGCATGTGAGATCTGTATAAAATGACGTCATGAGCGAACGAAAAGTTTTTTATACGTTAAAAGTTATAACGTGACTACTTGGTACGAATGGACAGTGCCACAGAAGTAGATCGCTTAGGCTAACTAAACACCATGTGTAGGGGAGCTAAGAGTTCTTAACCTAGACGCTTTAGTCCTGGAGAAATTACTCCAGGTTCCAACTGGATAGGAGGTTAAGTGGGCCCTAGAGCCGGTCTGAACGCAGTGGCGAAGAGAAAAACCCTACCGGGAATAGATCACTAAGAGGTAAAAAAAAAGGCTATCTCTATAACAAGCCGTGAAGGCCCATAGGGTTGTGAGACGTCGAGGCTCCAACATTTTCTAGACAGTTGGCTCACAGATGGCGGTAAGGTTGTCAGCCTTACGCGCCAGCAGCACTTTACCCCCCAAGAAGATTCCTGGTTCTCATTTCTGTTAGAGGCTGAGTCGACCACAGGGCCATAGTGCGGCTGGAAGGATTCGGTCAATTGAAAAATCCACCTCATCGGGACTCGAAACCGCTACCTTCCAGCTTGTAGCATAGTGCCTCAACCAACTACGCTACCGTGTGCCCCCTCACTAAGAGGTATTATTATTATTATTAACTTATAATTCCCCCTAGCCCCTCTACATACACAGATTATTTTAAAGAAAAGGAGCCATAATCCTTTTCCATAATCGCATATTTCTCTCGGAAACCATTGTAGATGACAAATATCCGATCGCATTTCCACTGTGGTATGTCATAAACAGTGAACGACACTGTTACAAAATACTGTTGCCTTTCTCGTGAGACTGAACTGATGTCAGTGTTTGTCGGACTACTTTGCTAAGTCTAACAGTAAGGGTGCGTCAAACACGCTTTGGGTACGCTGCTGTAATTTAATAAAACAGGTTTGTAGTCTGAACATGACATACTGCACATAAGGCACTAGAGTGATGTAAGCAGTCACGTGTGACACAATAGTAATATCTGCATTCCTTCAACCACAAGTATGGTACCTGTAACTTCCGGGCCAATGCACAGTGTGTAGGACTAAGCAGAAGGCCATTGTAATTTTCCTCACGTCTGGAAGGTCTGCCGAACTATATGCCTGTGACAAAGGTCTCTCCGTCCAACGTTTTATACTGTCTACATTATTTTCGGAGTATGTGACCATTTATCTTTATCCATTTTTGTGCACAAAAATTGACGTATTTTGGGAGGCTCAATTTGCATCTGCATGTTTCCTTTCTGTTTGTGTATGTGCATGTGTGCGTGTGTGTGGGGGGGGGGCATAATTTTATGAAGTTATCAGTAGCTAGACTGCATAGCGCTCAATGGTAGGATGTTAGACGCATTGTAAAGGATTTGGAAGGAAACGGTCGTGACCGAATCGGGGCACTATTTCGGAACATGCCTGGTGGTATCGAGGAAAACCACGAATATCCTCAATCAGATTAGCCAGAGTTCCGGCCGAGATTCGAACCCCCCCCCCCCCGAATACGAGTCTACAGCATTATCGCTTCGCCAGTCCCTTCGGCCGTCTGCATGTGTTGTCTCCGAAGCTGTTTAATGAATATCTAAAAGACGTATCATTGGCGTTCTACACTAAAATTTTAACATAATTTAATTCTGGTTGTTACATGTTTAATAAAGGTAAAAAAAGGAAGAGTTGTCATTGTGCTTAACTAATTAAGCACTACTTCAAGAAGGCGTATGGGGGAGTGAAGATATAGATCCACATTTTCTTGACCTCAGCACTAACTGAAGGTGAAATGGCCGCGCCATAGCTCATGCGGTTAGCCGCTGGCTTTCCTCCTCGGAGGCCCGGGTTCGATCCCGGGTCTGGTCAAGTGGGATTTGTGGTGCAAAAGTGGCGCTTGGGCGGGTTTTCTCCGAGTACTTCGGTTTCCCCTGCCAGTCTTCATTCCACCAAATTCTCCATCATCATAATCACCCGGGGAAGGCTACAATAGGCCAATCAGTGACTGCCGTGCCGAGTGGACCCAGTGGGGCTCCACCCCCTCTTAATCGAATTAACAAATCTGGAGCTGAATGGTCAGTTTCATGCCCCTGCCGCTTTACCCTCGGGGAAAGGGCCCCCGTTACAAATTTGATAGGAGGCTGGGTGGGCTCCAGAGCCAGTCTGGAAGACGTGGAGAAGAGAAAATTCTTGACCCTACCGAGATTCGAACTCCGATCCTTCGATCGTCTAGTCCGTAGCCAGTAACTATACCGACTACACTATTCCGGACCTTTTTCATAGGTTTAATACAAACCTTATTTTATATAAACCTAGAAATAGAACACATGTAATAAATAAAAAATATGTACAGGTAAATATTACATAAATATTGATATGTACTATATTTACGTACATATTCTTTCTAGAATGGTAAAACAGGCGAAAACTTAATATTCTCCATAAAGTAAAATAAACCTAATTAGCCCTAAAATCTAATACTGGTGTTTGGGACGTATCTTAATATGACGTATGTTCAACAAAATTGAAGACAAATACAGAGCGGGCAAAAAGTCAGTTCGCGTAAAACATTCTTTCGTATTAACGGGCATGGTCAGGTTTACACGTTGCGAATGGTATCACATGTTGCGAGTTGTGCATTGCACAAGAAATATCTCATTTTGTCCAGTTCTTGTAAATTCAGTAAGCAATATAGAAATTTCTAACGCATTTTAGTGTATATTTTACTAACCAGTTTTTGGGTTACTTCATATTTACACTATGGTCTTTTGTGCCGGCATGTGCACTGAGTAGCTTCGCAACAGTAGATTTGCATTTAAAATAATTAATATCCAGGCGTGCATAATCGCGAGAAATTCCTCTGAAAAATATGTACGTATGTTACTTCAAACTGGGGAATGCTGTTCCACTATTGTTTGTAAACAAATTCGTGCCTTAAAAGAGCTCTTGTTTACATGAGAAATTTTAGGTTCTATTGACAGTGACTATGATGAATACTACATTCTACAAGCTGAGCAGTGTAATCTGGGTTTACATAAATTTCTCCGAAACTTCGGCAAATTTTACCACACTTTACGTCGTAATATCCAAGAAAATAGCACAGGTCTCTTGTTTACAATTGCTACAACTATCCGTGTCAAATTTCATCTCTATTAAAAGTAACACAACAACCGTTATTACAGTAATCTGTCGGAAAAATCATTGGTCATGTTTATTTTCTTACCAAACGCCCCTCATTTCTCCTGAATAAAAGAAACACAACAATTATGGGACACAATGCTATTTTCAACTTTCATCCACTTCAATTAAATTCCAGTCAAAGTTCATCGCATGTCATATCACAATACGAATTTTTTATTTCATGTTGCTTAATCTGTTTACAATGTAAGCCGGAGCAAGCAAATACGAGAAATTGCACATGTTTAAATTAACCATCTGTCCGTGATACTTACGTTTTTATCTTAGCAATGTCCGGCACACTTTAACCCTGTGGCGAATTGTTCCCTTTAATATAAGAAATATCACTAACTTCCACTTCACATCCAAATTATGTCTAGAAGCTTTCGCATGAGCATTTATTTCTTAATGCTTGATTTAATTTGAAAATCATCACTTCACATCACACACTAGCACCGATAAGTAGATACGGTATCCCATCTCTGCTAGTTGTCGGTGTGCTTCCAGCTTGTAGGCCGACCTTTCAGCTGTTACATGTTCCAAACTGTTCATATCTATATCCCGCATTGAAGTCTCCTCCGCAAATGGAACCAACCAGTTGCCATCTAGCGGAAAATTGACGAAACTGGCTCCCCTCTCTGCTACAGATCCGCAACCTTGTAGCTAGTAAATCTTATAGAAAAATAAAAGTAGAATGTTGAACCTGTCTCAGGAATGTTGGTTCATAGCAACTATAGCTTGGCTGAAGCCAAAGAACTCAACGCAACAAGTATTAAAAACAATCGATATTGGTGTGCATTTTGCGGTCCCGAAGTAATAGAACCAGTGCATTTTAATAGCATTGATGCTGGACGTGTTTAAGAATCTTTCAAGCAATAAAAACATTTCAATTAAGTTGAGCAGAAGAGGTTTGCACTAACTTAACTGATGATGGAATTCTTTTTCGGTGTGTATAAGATATTTACAGATCTAAGCTTCACGCCATAACTGGTGTAACACCAATCGAGTACTTAACACGAGGTCTCATCATTTTTTGTTTATGCTTTCGTATTAAAAATGCTTGCATTCCATGCTGCAATGTCTGTGGGTTCCACGCGTCTGCGACTTCTCACATGCGCTGACCTCAGACTCCCGAATTCCCTTCCCGGTCTGAGAACATATTGTTGGGATCTCGCTACTGTTCCCGCTACGTTTGATGGGCACACTATTCACACACTTTAACTTAACTTACTCATGGAGGTGAGTCCTTCTTGAGGAGCCGCCAATTGCGCACTACTCAAGAATTCCCAACATTTTATGAAACCTGAAGGTTCATTACTGTATTCACAAGAGCCCTCCACTGGTCTTTATCCTGAGCCAGATCAATTCAATCCATACCATCCCTCTAAGATCCATTTTAATATTGTCCACCCAACTACTCCTTGGTCTTCCCAGTGGTATCCTTCCTTCCGGCTTTCACGCCAATATCCTATATGCATTCTCCTTCTCCCCATTCGTTCTACATGCCCTGCCCACCTCATTCTCCTTCACTTGATCATTCTAATTATACACGGGGTAGAGTATAAGTTATGAAACTCCTCTTTATGGAGTTTTCTCCAACCTCCTGTCACTTCATCCCTCTTCGGTCCAAATATTCTCCTCAACACCCTGCTCTCAAACACCCTTAGTCTATGTACCTCCCGCAATAATGTTCACACACTATGGGACGTATTCTAGTCACCAATAAGGGACTGAAATAAATAACAAAGCCGATCTGAGTGGTCGGACCCTGCAAGAGCTCCCACACACTGTAATCGTGATTCCAATCTTCATACGCACCTGAGGCATGGATATTTTTCGGCGATTTTGTGTTGTCATAGGAGGCACAGAAATAATGATTGTATAAGGAGTGGGCCTTCTTGGCCCTTGCAACGTGACCACAGTGATCTATTGTGCCTCCCCTTCTGATTATCCCCTCAACAATCCTGCGCTTCGAATGAAGCGTAGGATTTGTACGTGGGAACATCGAAGTAGTCACTTGGTTCCATAAAATATTGACCCAAGTGGCACAGTCTTAAATAAGTGAAGGCCTCACATTCGCACAGGATGTGTGTGGCTGTTTCGTTTTCTTCTTGGCACCTCTCACAAGTTGGACTGTTACTCAGTCCCAATTTGAAGAGGTGTCCTTTGAGGTGACAGTGTCCTGTAAGTAGTCCTACCACCCATCATAGCTGGTTCCCGTTAAACTTCAACAGTTCCTTCGCTCTTTTAGTACAGGGTCCTCGTATGAGTCCCTTTGCTTGCCTGAGTCATCCTACTAAAATAAAAATCTTTTCTTGGTATATTTGAAAACTGGTGGCTGAGAGTTTGATGTTGGCAAATGACGTGATGAGGGAGATGCTGTTTACATAAAAGAAATTATCTATGCAAAAGAATTAAGGAAATTATCTATCTACCTATCCTGTTGCTCCCACTTGGAGTACAGGGCATCCATGAAACACTTTGTTTCTCTTCAGCTCCTTAATCTTAAACGGTCGGTAGAACGCTTTCGACGGGGGGTCAGCCCGATGCAAGGACACTACCTACACACAACACAAACACAGAATAAACGAAGAGAGACATCTATGCATTGAATGGAATTCGAACCCACGATCCCAGTATTCGAGAGGGCGAAGACATTTCATGCCTTAGACCGCGCGGGCACTGTGACAGGCTGCGTTCTTCCGCCAGAGTTCGGATTTGCTATGTAATGTAGGCTGGGTCAGGGATCATTATATCGTGGCAGGACTGTAGTAATAATTACTGTTTGCAGGCAACACGCACTGCATTAATTGATACTGCCACATCGTCAGTACCTAACAAACCAATTTTATATTGTTCACAATGTAAGTCTCACCATCACTTGTATTCATTGCCTTCTAATCGCGAGCTGTCTTATCCAACTGAAAGGCATGGCATAAATAGTTTATGCCCTTTCATAAACATGCAGTTAAGCCGCTGCAAAATTAAATGTAGATGATATTTTTGTTTAGCTGACTGCAACTGGTCTGAATACAATGATGCATACAGGAAGATCCAGTTTGTTCTGTGGTTGATTCCTGCCAAACCTTTACTTATCTTAATAGTTCCACATATATAAACACAAATCTCTTTCTCAACCCCCCCCCACACACACACACACACATGTATGTTAATATATCGTTACCAATTCAATTAAAAACTGTAATTAAAACAAACTGACCAAGGCATAAGTGGGTGGATAATATTAAAATGGATCTTAGAGATAGCATGGGATTGATTGGATTGATCTGGTTCAGGATAGGGACCAGTGGAGGGCTCTTGTGAATATGGTAATGAACTTTTGGGTTCAATAAAATGCTGGGAAATTCTGAGTAACTGCAGAATTTGCGGCTCCTCAAGAAGGGTTCAGCTACATGAGTAAGTAAGTAATTAAAACAAAGTTCTATGTGTGCGTTCCAATGGTTCTGCAGATATCTGTACAGGGTTAACTAATCATAACTCGGGATCTATCACAATATAAAGGGTATTGTGACTCCAACATGTTACAGTATTATTTGAAGCACAGGTATAACTGACGACATAAGATGTCTAGAAACGTATTTTCATGTAAATTGAGCAGATGCGTAAGCAGAGATGCCCGGACTCAATGCCAGAAGTTCTTTGCATGTTCATTTCAGACAGTCTGCACAAGTGCCATTGCCTGCTATGCCAGGATAAAGTTCCTCTGCTACCAAATGTGACAGCTTCAGATGCTGCATGATGGCACACACTGCAGCGTATCTGAAGATTCATCTGAACATTATAATCAGAATATGAAACTTGGTTCATATAATGTGTTTGCTGTACATGCTTAGTCAACTGCAGCTTTTAGCAATCAGCGCCCAGCCAGACAGGTGTGTCCTTTACTATCTTTCTTTTTATTTAATGACATTTTATAAACAGCAAAGGATATGTAACATTCAATGAGAGAACAGAAGCGAACAGTGACAGCAATATGTGGGAAACTAATGGTTTATTTTAAGGTACTAACCCAGCAAAGTAAGCTCTATAAAGAAAGCTCAATCAGCACAGAGGCTTACTGACCAAAAATTAAATCTAGGATCTTCAGAATGAGGCAGGAATCCTAATCAATCAATTAATCACAATGGTCAATGAGGATGCTCAGGTGCAATGCAATATAATAAAGTGCCACAAAAGAATTCAGATATTCTCCTGGTTACATAGACAATAAATTTATGAGACTTGCTGAGGAATATGCTAAACTTTCTTCAATACACTAAGAATTTAACACGGCCCAAATTGGATATGTGCATATACTTTGTCAAATCAAAATATTCTTCTTATACATCTTTGCTTTCATCAGTTTCCACAAGAAGTGACTTCTAGTATTAACGGGCTGCTTCTTCATGCTTCCTTCAACTTGCATTAACAAAGGACAAGCAATCTATGGATATGAAGAGAAACATGATCATTTTAAAATCATGCGAGTCCATAAACATACAGCACCTAATAATCCACACTGCAATCAAACACAAATTTAAATTCTCACATACTCCTGTAAGTTTGTCTACAGTTGCAGTGAGAATGTATTCAGTGTATTGCTGCAGTAAAATAAGAAAAAGAAAAAACTTATACGCAAAGCATTAGTACATTTTAAACAATTTGGATTAAATGGGCAATACTATTAGTTGTAATTTTTAATTCTACAAATGGTCTATATTTATGGAAGGAAGATATATTAAATTTATAAGCACAATTAACCAGTGACTTTATTTAAATATCTGTGCAATTGTCTCCTTCAGCAGAACATGCAGAAACAATTTAACACAACAAAACACCAAAGTGAACAAACTTAAAAGCAAATTCACCAGTCATCTGACATATCACATGCCATGGTACAAATTCTGAGGCTGCAAATGCTGTTCCACTTCAGCAATGACCATGAAGCTACATATTCTAGTTATAAAACTCCTCTTCAGTCTTCAGGATTGACGTCAGAAGTAAACTGACTTGTCAACTCCTTCAGAAAAGGAAATTGCATATGATGTAAAATTTAAAACTCAAGTTTCACCATTCCTCAACAATGCATAATTTTCTTTACTTCTACATTCTGAAACTTCATGGAAGAACATATTACCTGAGCTTTCAACATACGGTATGCAGGAACTGTAGGATAATTGTACTCATCTCTAAAAAAACAATACTAGCTGTAAAGTATATATAAAGTCTGATCTAAAATTATCTGGACAAAGATTTTCAGGAAAGTTTATTCTGAATAAGATTTAAAGTTCATGACGATGGAATATTAAAACAAAGACTGATTTTATGAACATTATCCACAGCCCTGTTTCTATTTAAAGTGATGTTTAGGAGACTGGATCCTACCTCTGTCCTCAGGTAATAGGCCTACTCAGTTAGGCCCTTCAGACAAAGCTAGTCTGGAGATAGGTACCAGCTCCACTGATTAGTTTCAACTGAGTAGGCTTTCTTCTTGAAGATGGTGGCAAAGTCCAGTCTCCTAAACACCACTTGAAATAAAAATAGGATGATGGACAATGTCCAAGAGCAAATCACTGTATTCAGTTCAACTGCTGCCAACTTGTCTGTGTTTCTGACTTGTATCAGTATACAAAAACCAAGCAAAACTTCTTAAAAGATACCATACGTGATAAAATATGTGTTAAACCCCAAAACTATCAGTAATTATCACAACTGTAATGCCTGAAAAAAGAGTATGTCAAGCACACAGTGAAAGCAAAGAGATACTGATTGTTTTCTTTGATTACAAGGAAGCTGTGCACCATGAGTTTACTCCCAAAGTTCAGACTGTCAATCAACATTTCTATTTACAGGTGCTGAGATGTCTCTGTGATGCAGTAATTGTATATGGTCACAGAAGCTGAAATGTGGTGAGTGGCAAATTCACCATAAAAATGCACCAGCCTACTCAGCTTGGCCTGTGTAGCCATTTTTTGTTAAAGAAATCAGGCAGCCTACCTTCTCATTTGATACAGCTCACTGGGACCTTTTTCTGGTCTCAATACTTAAAAAAAGCTTTGAGAGGCAAAATATTAATGATGATACGGAAACAAACTGAACACTGTCTAACAGTTCTGGCAATTCTAAAACTTCAATCTGAAAGGTACTTTCAGCACTGGCTGAAACAGTGGTAACAGTGTGTGCGCGCGCGCATGCACGTGTCCACGTACTGACCTCACATTGATGTAAATACAGTATCTTATTTACAATGATTCGGTCTTGGTATTATTTGATCAGGCCTCATATATTCCAAAAACATTTATAAATATGCAAAGCCATTATTCAAACATGACACTAAGCTGCTGCTCTCTGAATGAGATGATGTTCCAGAGCAGCTCATGCATTCTCCCCCCAGGAACAGACCCACAAGTGTTAGAATATCCCCCCTCCCTTTTCTGTGGTTATAAAATAATGAAATGGCTGGCCTGTGACCTGTATTTAAGTAAAATGTTCAACAGACTGTTAACTTAAGGGCCGCACATCACCTGAGAAAGGCAGCTTATTCAAGATATGTTTCTTGTACAGCAGACTCTCAATTCTCCTCCATACAAAATTGTTCTACATTCAGTAAAAAACTACTTTAACAACTGTTCATATATACTTGCTAACAGAAAGTTCCAGGACTAGGCAAAAAAAAAAAGAAATGCTGGCATAACTTCCTTAATTTTGGTCGCCATCTTCTTCAAAATACTATCCTTAGGAATCTACACAGTGAGCCCATCAGTTTTTCCAGGCTTCAAAAGCACTGTGGAAGTCATTTCCCTTAATGCCGTCAAGTACCACTTGTGATTCCCTTTGGATGTCAGACACCGTTTCAAAATGTTGTTCCTTCAGTTTCATTTTCAATTTGGGAAATAAAGCAAAATCACAGGGGGCTACATCCAGTGAGTAGGGAGGATGGGTAATGATAATCATGTTGTTGTTAGCCACAAATTCTGTGGTTTTCATGGATGTGTAGGTGGGTGCGTTGTTGTGATGAAGGAGCAGTGTGCCGCACGTTCAAATTTTCTGTTATGGTCTTCTGGCAAACTCCATAACTGATCCCAGTGGTGTCTGTGAACTCATGGATTGTTTGGTGATGGTCTTCGTGGATGATTTCTTTAATATTTTCAACATTTTTTGTCGTTTTAGTGGTGCTTGGTTGCCCTGAGAGGTTCATCATCTTCAACTGACACTTGACCTGCCTTGAAACGTGAATACTATTCAAAAACCGCTGTCTGGCTTAAAGAATGTTCTCCAAAAGCCCCAGAAAGCATTTCAAGGGTTTCAGTGGTGGATGTACTAAGCTTCACGCAAAAGTTGATGCAGACATGTTGTACCATCTATTGCAGACAAAACAAAACACAAAGTCGAAAAAGCAAGTGTGTAAAAACAATGCATGTTCACAGTGCAGTGTCATGTGGCAGATTGATGCAATAGGCTTTTGGAAGTGTGACCTTGGCTTCCCCTCACTGAGGCAGTTACAATAATAACAGTCTGTGAACTTTCCAGTACCACCTAGTACAATTTAATTTATACAGAGACATGACAACACAAAGTAAATTTATATTTAATTTTGAATTTGTTCCAATATAATCAACATGAAAAGCTCTCTATTCTAAATACCAATTAAAAGTTTGGTAAGAGCCTTGAATTAGTTTTGTTGCTGGTGGAGGTGGTGGTGGTGGGCTTTATAAAAATGTCACTTTCTCGTGACAAAAATGATGAAATGTGGGATAATCATGAGTTTACTGTATCCAGCTGAAAGTTTAAACAATATATGTCATGCCATATGTCTTGTCTATTCAGCACATATCTAAGATAACACGTATTGTATTTTCGTACATTTTAAGAGTGCGAATGTTAGTATTTTCCTTTTCATAATACATTCTGATGAACATGCTATTATTAATTAAAACTCTAGGTACAAATTTTTGAACTGGCTGATCAACATACATTATTCCAAAGTACATGTTAAGCATCAACTGTAGAAAAAAAAAACTAGGGTCCATGATGGTGAGAACAGCCTTCCATTTCTGAAGTATAGCATAGAACAATTACTTTCAATTTATAGAATACATTTCTACTGAAATTACAAATTCAAATCCAAATCTGGCCTCAAGAAAATCCATGCTGGATTCATCAGGAAGGCAAAACCTGTGAATTTTTCAGACGTCAGAAGAAGGCTTTAATTTCCATCATCCACCATTTAAGCAAGATCTTCTTCAACATGGAAGAAACAAAACAGATGAATGGTTCTACTTCTTGCTGTACACTGAAACAATGATTCAGTGTTTGGAAGGCCTATCTTAAAAGCATACTTGGGTCAAAATATGCAGTATGTTGGCCACAAGAGGTTATACTGAAATTGAATTTTCACTATTTGATCCAAGAAAAGGTAATGGAATTTGCCTACTATAAGAATCAAATTGTCTAGCATTATTTATAGCAACTGGGAAATCTGCAATAAGGAGAGCAGAGAAGTTCTTCTCATTAATCTATGAACTCTACTTTTAATTACCACCACTTCTGTCTTACATGTCATATGCCCTCCTCCCATATCATATCCTTTTATATATCTGCAACTTTCAGTTCTGGTTGGAGGCTCCATCTCAATGTAATGTGAACTAAATGCATTGACATAATAAATATGGTGTTATGATAGAAACACAGTGAATCTTGAGAATAATGAAAATCACATAACAGTATAACCACAGTTGGCTCTTTCATATTTCTAGCCCTTTGAGAGAATGCTTCTGAATACTAGTAAATTTTACTGCATTTTTAAATACCAGTGTAAACAAAAATGGGAAACTAAATATATATATACATGGAAGTAAATTTTACCAAACATATACGGTTTATAATACGAAATGTCATCTTAGGAAGAGCATATACAACAAACAAGTCCAACACATTCGAGCGGATCCTCCTAAACTTAGATCTACATTATACAAAATCAGGTAATGAAAAAATCTGACTTACTGTTACATGTAAGTTATAATTTCTGTACAAAATTCCACAATGCATTCCACAAATTTAAAAACTTTCATAATCATTATTGAAAGTATTTTCTGCACAATCAGTTGCACATTTTTAATCTTGTAGATGGGGAGAAGTAATGCACAACTACATTAGTACATGTCCTCAGGCTGAACTAACACAAAAGATTGTAGCTCGAATTACCTAAACTTACAAAATTTTCATATCAGCACAAGCTACTGAACATAGCTCACACACAACAACACTTCAACGAAGTACAGCCAAAGTTTAAGAAATGGAATAATTATGCAATGTTCCTTCCATTGAAAGTATATAGCATTAGGTAATGTTGATCTTCATTCTGGGTACATAGGAGGGGGAGGAACATAAATCCAGCCAAAGAGATCACATATATCTGTATCACTGGCACATAATACAATTGCTGCTCACATTATTCCAATTCACTTAAACAAATTATAGTTTGTCAGTGAAATCTGATTTGGGAAAGTCAATATTTTAATAATGGACTATTAACAGAAAGTCCATTATAATTTCTGCATTGGTATCACTGATGGAACAAGAGAGCCATAATATCAATACAAAGCTGCCATTTTGTACAAATGCTGACAGACTGAAATATTTCAGTTCCCAGATCTATGAAGAATATAATCCTTTAAATCTCTCCTCAAGATTTACTACTGCCAGTGATGAAGTGGGTTATCTCTCCTCTTCTGGTAAGTCTGCTGGACATAATTCATGCTATTATCACATACAGGAATAGTTCAGTTGTATTTCTCCTTATTCATCTCAGTTTCATTTCTTCTCATTCATCTCCAACTTGAGAATGGATCTATTTGAAGGAAACACATTAAACACCTCTACACCGAATGAACAGACTGAACATTTTAAAGCCATTTAATGTTACAGTTCTCCTTCTAAGCCTCCAAGAACTGCATACTCCATTTTCTTAATAATGTGCATACATAAATACCAAATCATTTTATTGCTACCATCCGAATAAAGAAGTTTAAAAAGTACTTAGAATGTTGTAAAATATTGTCATGACATGAGTATTTGTAGTGTAGTGCCAAATAGGCTTGAGTTAAACAAAAATGTGAGTGGTGGAAATTTCAGCAAAGCCAGGAAAACTGTTGTCTTTACAGACAAGAAAACTGCATTATTTGCTGGAAAAATACCTGAGCCTCTCACAATTTAGTATATAAAATAGGCCACAGAAGCTAGAAGGTAAACCACATGTACTAGAACAGACAGATTCTCTTCAGTACTATATATGTAGAAAAAACACACTTGTTCAAAACTGTCACTCAAATGACATGAGATTTGCAGGTAATGGTTTCTCTTTGACACCACATGCTGCTTGTTGCAGATAGCGACACCACTGCTGTGCGGCTGTCCTGCTGCCAGCTCTGTACTTGTATACATTCCCTGCAATAATCACATAAATTGTTTTTCAGTTTTAAGGTGCATTCACAAAAATTGTGAAAATCACCTATTGGCTTCCTTATGCCTGCCTGCCTGTCTGCATGAAGAAACTCAGCTGCCACCTGACACACTTTCGCGACCCCTGGAGAATTTTACTAAAATCTTTTGACATAATTCAATTTTGTCTAAGATCAAACAAAAAATAATGGACACTATATGAAGACCCAAACACATTTTTGACAGTATCTCGTTCTACCTGCCATTCCAATGGTGAGAGGACATAAGAGTTTATATGAACAAAGCCATGGCCATCCCATCCATTAATTTCAGACTGCATATCTGAACATGCCTCAATTACTATGTTATGTGTATATCTCCTCGTTTGTTCACAATTGTGAGCATTACGCAAGAATAGTGGGATCAGAATTCAGCCATATTATTTTTGTATTTAATTCTAAAACTGTGGAGCCTAGTTCTATCATACAAAATCAAATTAAAGAAACCAACAATACTACTTTATTTGGAGGCCAACGACAGACAAATGTCCCTTCTGTCATTGTGCCCGACAATGCATATGTGAAAATTAGCGACATACTATAAGGTAAAGGCAATGTTGTCCCTGTGCTTAACACACCATAAAGGCATGTGGGGGAGTGGATGTATTGATCCACATTTTCTTGACCTCGGCACTAGTTGGAGGTGAGTGTTTAGCTTCACACCCCGGCCGCTTTATCCCCGGGGAAAGAGCCCCCTAGTACCCATTGGACAGGAGGTTGGATGGCCTTCACAGCTGGTCTGGACAACGCGGAGAAGATAACATTCTTGACCCTACCAGGACTAAAACTCCGGCCCCTCAGTCGACCAGCTGTAGCCAGTCGCCATACCGACTACATACTATAAGGGAAAATAAAAAATCTAGACTGTCCAGCAAATTAAAATGCATTCTAATGCTAATTGTGCTAATTTAATAATTTTTAATAATGTTTATTTGTTATCAGTTCTGTTGTTCATCTGACACATCACATCAAAATCATAAGCCAAACTTCTTCTCACAGTACACTTTCATCAAGTTAGAAATCTAAAATTTCATCTGCTGGGCTACAGTATTGTGTAGTGTGGACAAGTGGTACCCAACATTTGATGTAGTCAGCTGTTTCCCTGGAATGTGTGAACCACCTAGCTGTCTAAGCAGTGTTACTACCAAAACAATTACAATAAAAATCTTCATCATTGTGAAAACCTCAACCTTCAATAAAATGAGCACTGCCTGAGGTCTCTCAAGGGCTGCTCGGTGCATGCAATGCAGTCCAACATAATTAAGTTCAGATGCGGTTTCAGAATTCCTGTAAGGCCTGAACTTATGTAAGTCATTTTGAAGTGGCTGAAGTCCAGTTTTGCTCCATCTACCTTTGGCTTAAATTTCAGAACCAACCAACTCCCTATATTTATGCCGAGAAACCTAATATACTTACTTATAGCTAGTACACTGGCAATCTTATGGTACAGCCATCCACGTGTGTAATCTATTGAAAGTGAACTTCATTGTTTTAATTTTGTGTTCACTACAATTATATTACAGTTCAATATTTAAGATATTAAAATCACATCAATAACAGATCTAAAAGTTTGTGACAGCTACATATTAACACAAATACTGTTCTGGACATTATCCTCTGTCCTGTTTTTATTTAATTTTATTTAAAAAGAAACACAGTATTTGCACATAAACCAGAATATTGTGACATGTCAAACTGTTGCTGGGCAATGGGATGTGGAACGAGTTACCATGAAGACAGGTTCTTGATAAACAGCCGGTTGCCAAGTTATGCAACAGTAAGGAAAGTGGTGTTTCTCCATGCCGTGCCTAACCGAGCCGAAGCGCGCTGGTTGCTACGCAGCGTTACCCAGCAACGCCTGTGTAAACACGACCATTAGGCAACAATGAAGCGAGGGGCATTTTTCGCTGACCGACTGAGGGTTTATAAGAGAGACTGGAATACCTAAGGAGTCAGGTGAAATGTAGCAGCCGCTGAAGACAGTGTCAGTTGGTGTCTGGAGTGAGGAAGAGAATGGAACGCGCGTTATACTGAAGATAGTGTGAAGAGATTAGTGTGTAGGATTTGTAAATTGTGTAAACCCGCAACAGTGTTATAATCAATTGCAGTTACGACTTGTAGGTTGTTAAATATACCGATTAACAATCTGAATGGCGTCTTCAGCAGCCAAACACGTTACAAGGTATATTATTTATAACATACACAACTCAGCCCACTTTGGCCATCTACAAGTAACTCACATAATTAGTTATTATATGTTAATTCTGAAAATTTACTTTCTTATGCTTGTTTTACACGTTAATTACACTAAATTAATAATTAAATTATTTGTAATTAATAAGAAAACCAAATATCATAAAAATATATTCTGTAAATTAACTTTTATATAACTCAATGTATGAACTCCTGTGTGATGGCTGGATTAGCCCAAGAATGTAGTGTGTAAATAATAAAAACAGTAAGTTGTATTTTATGGCTTTAATATACATATTAAATATCAAACTTTGTATTCATTCAACTCTTTAATGAACCATCACAACACAGCAAATAGTAAAACATCAAAGTCAGCGTATAGCTGTGGCTTTGCTACATGTTTCGGCCACTATCGGCCATCATCAGGCAAATACATATCAACAAAAATCTACCATTTAACTGCAATCATAAAATGGATATAACACTATTAATCGTACAATTTTAAAATTGCTTATGTAAAAATACAAAAGTTCAGATTATATAAAAATTAAAAACTGGAAGTATTATAACAAGATAAAATATTGTAACGTGTCGGCAAACCAGAGGAGTAACTTCTATGGAAACGCTAGAATGGACCGTTACATAGGAAGTAACAATAGCGTCACTGTAATCCCAACAGTGAGCCGTTGTACCGAGAACATCGAATCTCCACGGCTACGACAAATACGCGTAGCGTTCCCACAGAGACAACGCAATAACAATGGGTCATTGCGTAGGGAACGAGGAACCAACAATGCAACGTCTCCACCGCTATAACAGAGGGTTCGTTACCTAGCAGCTGCCAAGGTTATAAAAGCCCAGCTTCGACACGAAACAGTGAGTCTCGGATCACCCTTCGAAGAAGTCAGTCGCGGAACAGTCTTCGAAGAAGAAAGCTTCAGATCGCCCGTCTAAGAAGTCAGTTTGGAATACCCGTCTAAAGAGTCAGCATCGCCGGAATATTGTGAGCAGTGATTGTAGCACTGCAAGTGTAAACGCCTGCAAAGTATGTGTAAAGTGTGAGCGAAGGAAATAAACTCGCTATATTGAGAACGGCGTGAACTTATTTGTAGCATGACACACAAAACACGCTACAATATTAATGTTTTCAAAAACACTGAATCAGTCGTTAGATATACTTTGTGTGCGTTTCCATAGACAATGGGGAAATTCGATATTACTTTATATAGAAGATTTTAAGAGAGGCCCATGGTGTAGCAATTAATGAATTGTGTAATGCTGCCTCGTCATTAAGAAGAATTGTCCGTATTGCATGGAAAGCAAACAACAACAACGCACACAAAGTATATCTAACGACTGATTCAGTGTTTTTGAAAACATCATTAATATTTTATCTTNTTGTATTCATTGTCACTTTCATAAGTTCTTTCAAACAATTCTTATATATTCTGTTTGACAATTCAATGCAGACTATCAGCAAGAACCTAGACGTCTTTTATTTCTCATTTCTATTTTTATACACTGTCATCAATACTTTTAAGTCCTGCTCAGAAATTAAGAGTTATAATCAGGATGTCTTGAGCTCTCATTCCAAAATTTTTGGTTGACATACATAACCTTGAAATATTTTTCTGTCCCTGTATAACAGTCCCAGATNATTTTGCAAGGCTCTTGTTTAAAGTCTGACCTTTCACTCCTGAAAGAATTACTACAGATTAATATTGAGGAAAGCAACTTTCAGCAGTCTATAATGCGTCATAACAACAGCAAATATTCTCATTACTTCTTTTTCTTCTCTAACTTTCTGGTTCCGATGCTCTAGCATTGCCTCACTGATTACTTAAAAAGAACGTGACACTTCACGGAATTTACAAGTCAGTTTTGACTTCTTATTTCATAAATGTTTATATTGTGATGTATTGCCCTATGGAGGACATCCCCTCCCCTGCCAGCGGTGACGTAACAACATCGGGTTCGTTGCTACTACAGTAACAGGCCAGTCAACACTCTGCCCCGTTCCACAGCGGTGACATAGTGGGGGATACTGCAGTTGTTACACAGCAGTAAACAACTTTCGACAGTGTTGCTAGGCAACACCTATAAACACAGCGTCAGGCAAAAGCGGTACCTATCACGTAACTGTTTTCTGCGTTGTCCATGCCGAGGCTAAATAAGGAGCAGCGAACACTATTCAGTCAGTATTGAGTATTCAGTTACAAGTGAGTAACGATTAACCAGTAAGTTAAAGTGTAGCAGCCGCTGAAGACAGTTGGAATATAGCGACAGTCGCGGGAAAAAGAACTGAACGCGTGGTTGGAAGATTTGATGTGATAATTTGTGATACTGCCAAGGGCAGTAATTGTGAGACTGTAAATCGTGTGATTGTAAGAGCGAGTGTAATAAATTCGCCATATTCAAATAAGGCGTGAAGTTACTTGTTGCGCGTTATACACCCAACACGTGACAACATTAACAGATTTTTCTGTAATTGTGGTAACAAATTCAACAAAGAAGAACTCTTTTTGAGAAGCTAACCTTTCATGGAGCCCAAAGGTTCATTCTTCAATTGGAGCTAAACATGGGCCAGTTCAATCTAGCTATACCATTACATTCTATTATCATCCTTCCATCTATATTTTGGTCTCCAATCTGGTCTCTTACCTTCAGGCTTCTGGACTAAAATGCTGTATGCATTTCTCTTCCCCCTTCCATGGTGCAAATACGACCCATATAATTCTCCTTAATAAGACTGCCCTAATAGCATTTGGCAAAGAGTACAAATTATGGAACGGTTCATTTTCCATTCTTTAAGGGGATTGATAACAACACATTTTTCCTTCCTTCTTTATGAACTGCTCTCATGATGGTACTGGGACAATGTTCTCAGTTCCTCAAGCTCAAATAATAGCAAATGCATAAAAATAAGGGAAGACAGTCTGGGATGAGGTTCATATATCTCTCACCTATCCAACAGATGTACTTGCCCTTTGAATGACTTTGCTGGATAATAAACAAGGTAGGAAGCCCACAGCTGCACCCAGTAGCGTTGCCATGAGGAGACTGCTGGCTTTCTTCCCTCTTTGAGCATTGTTTTCCTACGGAGACATCCTTGCAGCACACACTGCATTCCCATGTCTTCAGCAAACTCATCTGCATCTGGCAAAAGTGAAGATCTGAGAAAAAAACATCATTACTCTTTATGCAGAATATGAAATCAAACTATGTATGAGGAATAAGGAGTATGAATCAGAAACTGCTGAGGAAACACATATCAAGTTTCAGAAAGATTGGTTCAGGAATTTTAAATGATAGGGGGAATTCACAGACACACAGGGAGAACAGTAATCTCATAAGCCTGCTTTTATTATTTCAAAATAAGGAAAGCAGGCTAAAATGTATTGATTACTTCATATTATACTGAAAACCAAATGTTACATTCAATTAATGCTTCTTGCAGCCAGTATGCATAATTAGTTACTATAGGATTCTGACGATGGTGTATAACACACAGAGATATTGGGTTTGCGGACTTTATCCAGCGTTCTGGTTTTTAAGATAACTAAGAAAAACACGACGTTTTGGAAACTTGATCTGTTTCCATCCTCAGGTAAGGGAAAACACCTATTCTGTTTGGTCCCTTAGAAAGAGCTAGCCTCAGTCACCTCCCTCACCTGAGGACAGAAACAGATGCAGTTTCCGAAACGTCGTGTTTTTCTTAGTTATGTTAAAAACCAGGATGATGGATAAAGTCCGCAAACCCAATATCTCTGTGAGTATGCATAATGGCTTGTCAAAACTTCCATATCAGATGGCACAATATACATTTCAATCTTGAGTCTAAAACTGAACATGAGAGTCCTAGCGATCGTGTCTGAAGGGTGTAGGGGGAAAATGCTGTGTTTAATTATCTCTAATATTATTACTCTGAATTAATGCCACTAACAGAATCTTTGGCATTCCCCACATTCCCCAAATTCTGAGTACTTACTGTACTGTAAAAGTAAGGAAAAGTACCAAATGCACATTTAAATATGTGATGCAATATAAACTGCACATTAATATGAGAGGCGTTCAAGTTCTAAGGTCTCCGATTTTTTTTCTCAGAACTGGGAGCAGATAGACACATGCGGCTTAGTTTAAAATACGTGTGCACTCTTTGTGAATGCATGAGAGAGATGGCAGCACTCTATGACACACAGAACTCTAGTGGTAGCAGCGAGAGTGAGAAGTGTTTTTGATACTTAAAATGACGACATTATCGTTACAAGAACAGCGAGTAATCATTCGTTTTCTCCACTTGTGTGGTGCGACAACCATTGAAATTCATCACCAGTTGAGTGAGACGTGTGGTGATGGTGTCATGAATGTGAAAAATGTGCGTTCGTGGGCGCGACAGTTCAAAGAAGGCCGAACATCGTGTGACAACGAACCAAAACAATCTCGGCTTCGCACCAGCCGGTCTGACAACATGGTCGAGCGAGTTGACAAAGTTGTTTTGGAGGATCACCGATTGAGTGTGGAAAACATCGCCTCCAAAGTTGGCATTTCCATTGGATCTGTGCACAAAATCCTGCATGAAAGCCTGCGAATGCGGAAAGTGTCCTCCAGGTGGGTGCCACGAATTCTGGCGGATGACCACAAGGCTGCACACATGGCAATTTGCCAGGCGATGTTGACACGTGATGAAGGCATGAATGGGACTTTCTTTCCATCAACTGTGACAATGGATGAGACATGGATGCCGTTTTTCAATCCGCTATTGCATCAGCAATTTTCCAGTGGTCAAAACAGACTCCTACAGAAGCGTTCGCAGCGGCCATGGAATCATGGCGTCGACGTTGTGAAAAATGTGTATGGCTGCAGGGAGATTACATTGAAAAGTGACAGAAGTTTCAAATTTTTTGTATGATTATTGTGTGAGAAAAAAAATCGGAGACCTTAGAACTCGAACGCACAACGTATATTCACTTTATGCACTAAGAAACGCGTAAAAAAAGTGTTAATGTATATAACCTTCCAGAGTAAATATGTTGAAGAAGCTGCTGAACGATTAAGGCTTTGGAAAGAGACCTGAATTATGAGATGAAATTCACTATTAACATTTCAACAAATGAGTTCTATAAATCCCACAGCAGAAATCATCAGATACAACTCTATTTGAGGTCAAGTTCTGTAAAATGACACTGGAATAGTTATGTCAATTCAATATACTGATTAAGAATTCCATACAAAATTATGCATTAAATGGTTCAAAGAAAATCAAGCAGAAACCTCAAACAATGGTGCAACATTAGGCTCAACGCATACAAAAATGAGAGGAATGCTATAACATTTTTATCATTATCTTTAACCTCTATAAATGTGACAGCATTTCAAGCACTACTTTATCTTACATTAAACATTAAAATATCAAACAATTCTACATTACAATTAATAATAATTATATCACCCGCCATAAAAATTGAACTAACATTTAACTACCTTGTACAAGCCCATAAATTGAGCTTAAATTTGACTGTTGGTTCATTTCCAGCTAAAATTATTCCTTACAGATAAAATAATCTAGAAAATTTTTCAAGTTCCTGCTTGTGTTAGTCAAGACCAGCATTTAATCTAATACTCAGAAAGCTCTTCACTTAGAGGTATCTACATTATATTTCAGAGTAGAGTTATTAATACTAAGATTGATGACTTTAGTTACTGAATTTAACTAATTTACTTTAATTAGATTTCTGTATATTGTGACGAACGAAGAATAGTCGCTGCAAGAAAAGGAGCCGAAACAACAGGAGACACTGCAAGCACAGCTACGGGAAGCAAAGGAACGGGGATGCACCGTTAGGCTATTCGGGACGAACAGCCTTAAGGAGGGAGCAGTGTGACATGTTGAGCTATGGATCACCCCTACCTCCCCAGCGGTACGTGGCGGTAACGTAACGCTCGCGTTACTACGGTAATAAGCGAGTTCCCGCCCCGCCACTCCCCTCCGCGGTGACGTAACGCGCAACGCTACGTACCCGTAATCAACTTCCTACTGTGACGTGGCACTCATTACGCAACCGCTAAGCACTGCAGCTATATAAGTGAGCTGCACAGCAGGTACCAGTTAGTTCTACTGTAGCAGTCGGCGACTTCAGTTGTACTGTGACAGTCGCCGAGTGCGTTATCAACAGTTCTCAAGGCAGCAGCCTGTGAGTGTGCGATAACTAAGAAGTCAGCGAGCGGAAGACTTATTGTGTGCTTTCAAGACATAATTGTTAAATAAACCAATTAACCATCTCTACGGCGTCTTCTGTAACGAAACACGGTACAATTGGTGTCAGAAGTGGGATCAAATCAAGTCACAATATTAATAATCTAATAAGCAAATATTTCCTTAAGTACAGGTCACTTCTTGTGCCCCAAACCCTTTAACAGTTAGGAAGGAAAGATATTTATGACAGGAAGAGCTCACAGAAATAATGTAACCAGAAATTTCTTCCATACTATTGCAATGGACGTCTACGTATTCACAGTCTGTCAATACTGCAACAATTGTTTATTCACCATTTAACACTTATCACAACATGTTTCGGCCAAAGATGGCCATCTTCAGGTGTTTCAATGCGTCCAACTGTTACACTGTTCTGAAGTGTGCTAAAATCACACGCTGCAGTCCACTTAAAATAACATAAATAATTACTTAAAATCCATTAAAATTTTTCATAAAATCCCATTCCACCTCATAAGGGGTGTCATCCACTTGTTTAGAGTTATGTGTTTATTCCAGAAGGTTTGTTTCAGCAGCTTGTTTTCCTGTTCATTAGCCCGTTGTTTTGCTACATTTTCAATCTGTAATATGCCTCTTGCTTGTGCATTGTTCCCTCTAGCAGCATGTGGTGCTGTCTTCACTATTGCAATGGATTTGATCAATGCGTTGCCAGGCAATAGTTCTGTAAACATGGTCCAACAGGCAACAATAGAGAAAGCTGTTTTTTCTGTAGATCTGTTCAACGTGCCACCAGACTGGCTGGATAGCGATCATGTGATATGAGTTTACTGTAGGTCCATGTCCATTCCACGGCTATATAAGTAAGCAGGACAGAATTTGTTCAAGGCAGTTATGAGTCAGTTGTAAGCTGGAGGAGTGAGTAAGAGATGGACTTCACTTGAGTTCCGAAGTTCCTAGGGAACAGCAGTGTGGTCAGAAGAAGAATTAGAAGACTTAGTGTGTGATGTCACATGTGCTGTAGTTCATCGATATTGGGAGTGTGTGAATAAGTGTGAGATTTTTATAATTCCTGTGTTATAAATTCTTTACCAGGAAACAGATAGTGAAGACTAGTGGAAATAGACTTAGGAGATTAGTGTGGAGTGCTTTGTACTTGTAGTGTGAAAATCAGTAACGGTGTTAGAACTATTTGCAGTTACAACCTGTAAATATCCTATAAATTCAATTACCAATCCGAACCCCATTTTTAGTCACTGTGACACGTGACACTATTATATAACTTAACAAATGCAGGGAACTTGGACTGTGACAAGAATTGATTTACCCATGTCTTGTGAGAAGTTTTTCTCCCTCTTCACAAACAGATCCTTCATCATGTTTGTGTCTGCCATTGGGAGACTGTGGACTATGATGCATCAGCTGTTGCTGTTGTTCCTCCAGAACAGAATCATCAAGCAAATGCTTTTCTCCCAGCTGCAATACTGATGTTGCCTCTGTGTACGTTGCGACCTGAGGTGTCTTGTTGAAAATGCTGTGACACACAAACAAATTCTGTCTATTTAAATACATGTAAATTAAAGACATACAATGAAATTGTTTACTACGATGTACTTAACATATTCCATGATGAAAACTGATAACAATTCAATGGTAAGGACGGCTGTTAGGGGAATGTAATACTTGTGTGTTTTCTGTAACAAAGTACCGGTCTAGAGGACAGATGCAGAGAGAAATCAAATGGGACTGGGTTCCTAACTAACCTCAGATCTTGACAGGACACTTCCACACAAATTTTGAGTTCTAAATATAATATAAATTTTTGGTGAGAAGTAGAATATCTGAAGTTACCTGTTACAAAGCCAAAACCCTACTCCAATCTAAGAGTACTGCAAGGTATTTATTCTTCACACTTCACACTTCAGACTGACTTGCAATGTGAAGTGTGGAAACATATATTCCTACAGCACATATTTCCAAATTAAAATCATTTTCATGCAGTTTTCATTTCATTTTCGATATCCTGGGCTGAATGTTACGTTGTGTTTCTTCCTAAAGAAATCACTGCATTCTGTGAACAGTTTCTTGCCTCATAGTTTTAAGAGGAATATTGTTGTCATATGAAATAAGATTTGGACAACTTAACAAATGGATGGATTTTATCTTCATTTTTCAGAGCATCATATTCCATGCAGATAAATTGAAACCTTTTGTACAGTGGAGAAAAAATGCATCAGAGACAAATAAATGTAAGTAGGACATATTAAAGGAGTAATGGATAAATACAGATAAATGTAAAATGTAAAAATTTTCTTATAATAGGCATGAGTTAAATCCAATATTGGAGATATGCAGAAAATAATCCAAAGGAAATAATTTGGTATAAAAACACAGGAGGAATACACTGAAGCAACAACACAGATATAAATAATACACATAGCACTTGCTTCAAATTACTGCAATTGTAGTTATTACTAAGGAAAGGGTCATCACAGCATGTGTGTTCAAAATAACATAAAATTAATTCATATTAGGAACTATAACACCTGTACAGCCGAAGCAATGGAAACATGCAAATAGTGACCATTAGCACAAAATGGAACTAATGCAGCACTACATACATTATATGAGATCAACAATAAATTTGTAAGAATGGGCCCAGAGTAGAAGACATCCAATACACAAATGAGAAACTGTTTCCACTGTAAGGCACAATTTGATTACAAAATTTGTCGCAGACATTCCTGTGCAGGTGTGTACAGGTTGTACACCACAACAGCACACACAGTGGACTAGCTGATGCTTGGATGTCCACAACCTGGAGTCTGATTTTTATTGTTACTTAAAAATGGGTCCAAGTAGTGTCTGATGGGAAAATGAGCTTATTAGAGGAAGAGTAACTATATTAAATTATATTATATAACACACACACACACACAGTGTATAACTGAGCATGCAGTGGCTGGCAACTGTGATGTTGGTTCATGCTGTAAAGAAAATGGAACAAAACATCTGTGGAAAAGCAAGTGAGGGACTCACCCACTGGGTACCCAACCAGGTTGATGGCAATACCCTTGGTGATGGTGACCTTGTTTGTGGAAGTTGCGAGGAAGACTTGTACTACGAAATCTGAGAAACAAATCAAACATGTAACAGCTCCGTACATGCCTGGATGATTATATAACAGAGCAAGTGAGACGAGTGTTAATCTCTGACTACAGTCAAGGAAATCCTACCAATCTTTTTGTTAGCAGTGGGTCACATTACTATAGTCTGAATTCTGCTGCAAAATGCTGTTTTGTGGAATCCAGTGTACATAATTCTACCTAGGACACCTATGCAGAGATAGGATGATAACAACAACAGAAATGATGTAACTCTTAAAAGAAAAGCGTGAGGGGTATAACGGTTTCATCTGGCTCAGGACAGTCCAGTGATGGGATCCTTTAAACATTGCATGAATCTTCAATTTCCATAAAAGATGGGCTATTCCTCAACAAATTAAGTGACTGAAGCTTCTCAAGATAGCCTCCTGCTCTAAGGAGTTGGTTTGTTAGTATGCATCATGAACTTTAAGTCACTAAAATCTGTTCCAACCGCAGCCATATATCATATGAAGACCTGTATCTTTCTTCACAATACTACAGAAGCCCAAATTCCTATAGTTCACTTAAAAATGGTAGACAGAAGCAAATGGTAGAATGTACAATATGCAAGCACCATTTGGAACTCCACAACATGGAATTGCCATCATGATGAACACCACTTTGAACTCAATGTCGAAAGGTTAAGGATGATGCTACAATGCAATGTATTAGAACTTTTAACTTTCTGTCAGATGAAGTGACAGGGAGGTAAAGTAATCAGCAGGAACAAAATAAGAAGGCATTAACTGAATATAAACATGGGGAACTTAACAATGCATGAATGTAAAAGTTCTTTGGCACTCTAAGATCTATAGAATTACTGGGTTTTGGACTTTTGCCACTGTCTGGAAATTTAGGTAACAGAGGACACGATGTTTCGGAAACTAGATCTGGACAAAGGAAAAAGTCCAAATACCCAGTAATTCTGTTGTCATCCACCATCGTCAGAACCCTTTAGAATTTATTCTAAGATTTGTTAAGACAAATATTGGTATCTGGCAAATACACCACATTTAGATGCCACCATGAATATTTTTGTAGCTCTGAACGTTTTCCACCCTCGATGGAATGCACAGCTTATTATGGAATACATGACCAATATAATAAATTTATGGACTATTATTAAATGGCTTGAAGTTTTAGGAAAATAAGTCTGGATGACATTCATCTTCATTAAGCGAGGTGAATTACTTGTGACATGAAACATGTCTGAAGACTGTCATCACCTAATGCTGCAATGAACTCAAGAACTAACTTCAGTCAACATACTGGAGGGCTAAATGGCTAGTGTCATAGATGTGGGACTAAATGACTGTTACAGCATTGAAACTATCAGAAAACTTTGTGACACAGTAATGTGAGCAAGGTCATATTAGTATAAGAGAAAGCAGGGCTGGAGTATTAGTCATACAAGACGGCTAAGAGTGTGTGCGTTCCAACATTATAACATGGTACTCACTTGGTTCCCAAGCTGCGGCACTTCCTGTGGGTTGGTACAAATTTGGCAGCTCCTGCTGCTGTTGCTTGGAGACGAAGAGAACCTGAGGAAAGACCTTTAGCAGGAGAGAGGTTCAATGAGGCTACAGACGTCACTGTTTCAGTCACAGACTCTTTTGAGCTGGAAGAGCTTGCAGCAGGTGACGGTGGTTCCAGCTTTAGAGATAGTCTGCAAGCGCATGAAGATGCAATCATTGAGAAAGGCTGAATCAAGTCTGTTGCTGAAGAAGCAGCAAAATGAATATTGCAATCTGAGTAGCCTAGGACCATGTATGGATACAATTTATCCTTGTGTAAGTAAAACAGACAAAATGTGACTACCCTTAACTCATGCGTGTTTCATGAGATCATGTTCAGTTTATGAAACATTTCAATAACTTCTGAACCACCTTTTAAGAACTCTGAAATAAGGTCATACCATTAAGTCATCCTGCCATAATAAATTTCAATACTCTAACAATACCAATCTGGTAATGCTGGAAGCATTAAATGTAGGAGCAATAATAGCTTTATAAACTGTCAAGCCTTTAAAAAGTGACACACTTAAAAAACGTCTAACTTTTGCTGTCAGTTCTGTGAAAACTTACTGCAAACTTTAAACATCACTTGTACTTACTTGTACTGGTCATCTTCAACAAACTTTTGAAGTTCTTCAATGTACCGTACATTGCGCAGATAGTTTTGTATGTGAGGTAAATGAACCAGATGTGAGTAATCAGACTGTTGGTAATCTGAGATTACTCGTAAAATATTGTTCATTTTGTGTAGGCGCCGCTGCTCTGATTCAAGACCACCAGAATGTGGATGTGCCATATCAATGTATGTCAGATCCGTCAGGAACAAACCTATGCATATAAGCTGAAGTCAAGGTGCAGCAATGAGCGAGATACAAGGACAATGTACAATGAATTGGAAAGGACTGAGGAGAGAGTTGCAATGGCCTGAGCACTTTCCTGAAATTTGCTGAGAATGGCTGAAGAAGTAACCGCTGATGGTGTAATATTTAATCTTCAAACCAGGTATCGCCTGACCATACATCTGCACGGTATGAATGACACTGCTTATGGTAACAATCAGAAAACCTTCCCCTCATAAGAGGGAGAGTCAGTAAAGAGGTCAGAAATTGATATAAAACATGTGATATTTGAACCTGGAAAAAAACATTTATTTCTTGACATATCCTCCGCCAACACTAATACATTTGTCCTATCTCTTTACCAGTGCTTCAAAGCCTGCAGCATAGAAGTCTTTTGACTTTTGTCTCAGAAAATTCTGCACCTCTGTTTCATTATCTGCGACTTTTGAATGTCTTTGAGGGAATTTCTCGACCCAGTTGTGAACTGCCTTATGTGATAAACACTTGCTACCATAAACAGGAAACATTTCTTTCTGAATATCCTTTGCATTGAGTGCTTTTGCCCACAAAAGAATGCTGCTCTTCACTAGTACACCCTCAAGCATGGTTGCCATTTTCACTACTGAAACCAGTCTCTGAACATGCACATGTGCATCTGCTATTTAGACTGTCATGAAGCTGGACTGCGCTGCTACCTACTGATCACTCACTCACTCATGGAGCTGATTCCTTCTTGAGAAGCCGCCAATTGTGCAACTACTCAAGAACTTCCCAGCATTTTATGGAACCTGAAGGTTCATTACCATGTTCACGAAAGCCCTCCACTGGTCCCTATCCTGAGTCAGATCAATCCAATCCATACCATCCTAGCTCTCTAAGATCCATTTTAATATTGTCCATCCACCTATGTCTTGGTCTTCCTAGTGGTCTCTTTCCTTCTGACTTTCCCACCAATATCCTCTATATGTATTCCTCTTCTCTCCCATTCATGCTACATGCCCTGCCCATCTCATCCTCATTGACTTGATCATTCTAATTATACTCGGAGAAAAGTAAACGTTATGAATCTCCTCATTATGCAGTTTTCTCCAACTTCCACTCACTTCATCTCTCTTTTCTCCAAATATTCTCCTTAGTACCCTGTTCTCAAACATCCCCAATCTATGATCCTCTCTTAATATCAAAGACCAAGTTTTGCTACCTACTGATACTAACAGAAGACTTCTTATGTCAATTACAGGCTGTTTTACTTCCATTTGTGACATATTTACTACCTATCCCTCATATAAACAATATCTGACATTAAGTTCTTCTGCAGGAAGTGCTAATAATTGGTTTTCCCTCATACTTGGTGAAAATCCAACTTTGTTTACACAACACTGTAAAAACAATGTTTGTGAGAATGTTCATTAATGAATCTTTAAAATATGATGAGACATTTTAGATGATGGTAAAATTCATAATCATCCCTGTGTTTAATTAAGCACAGTACCATACAGACATAAGGGGAGTGGAAATACAGCTCCAGAAACTTTAAACCTCATCAGGAGTGAATGGGTAGCTCTATGGGTTGAGCACTTTCCCTGGAGGAAAAAGTCCCTGATACTTACTGCCTGGCCCCAGCCTGGACATGGCTGTAAAGAAATTTTATGCTCCTGCCAGGAATCAAACTTTTCATTCTTCAGTCATCCAGCCAGTAGCCCAGTCACAACATTAACCAAGCTATCCTGGCTCATTTTCAAATGACACAGTTCAGAAGCATCACAATGGATGGCCAATCAATATTAATTTGTTGTGGATTACTCTTAATTCCATGAATATATCTAGTAACATCTACACATGAAACACTGAGACTCATATTCCCCAAATATGGATTCCAAACCAAATGCAGATGTGTAGATATTTCAGGCCAGTCACGGTAGCTGAGCGGTCTAAGGCATGCACTATCTTTGCTCGCTCAAAAGCCGGGATTGCGGGTTTGAATCCCACTAATGGCACGTACGTTTAGTGTTTGTGTGTGTGTGTGTATGTGTGTGCATTTTTCTGTGTTTGTGTACAGGTAGAGGCCTTGCGACAAACTGAAGGAGGATACAAGGAGTCCTATCGAATGTCTAAGATCTAGTAAACTGAAGTGAAATGGAGAGTTCCATGCAGCTAGGCCAAGGCCCAAATTGGGGCTGTAGCGCCAAGGGGGGGGAGGAGGATATTTCAGACTTTCCCATGTGAACTGATTACGAATGCAATCACTTTAAAAGGCTACATATGTTCTTTGTTGAACTCAAAGGCTACAATTTTAAGCACTTCAACATCAAAATATGCATAAATTACAACCAACAGAATTTTAGCCCTCACAACAGGCACACTGAATTTTGCTACTACGTCCCTTGTACTGCGGCCACTTCTGGCCTATTGTACCAGCCACAGATGATAGGTGAGGGTGATTGTGGAACAATGGGTGGAATGAAGATTGGCAGGGGAAACTGAAGTACTCGGAGAAAACCTGCCCCAGCGCCACTTTGTCCACCATAAATCCCACTTGACCAGACCCGGGATCGAACCCAGGCAGCTGCGGTGGGAAGCCAGCGACTAACTGCTTGAGCTATGGCGCGGCCATAAATAAGGCTTACTTTATTATTAAAACCTTAAAGGAAACCATGAGCTATAAAATGATTAGATCTATCTATTATTCTTATTTTCAGTCAAGATTGAAATATGGAATAATTTGCTGGTGACCAGCGAAAGGTAGTATAATCATCTTCCAGATACAAAAAAAGTTGATGCAACTAATAGCAGGGGCGAATAAAAGAACGTCTTGTAGAAGTATATTTTTTCAATTCAAAATTCTGACCATGCCCTCCCTCTATATTTTGACCATATTATGTTTTATTAAACAACTGAGAGATAATCTGGCATGTAATTTCCAGAAGTACGAGTATAATACTAGAGGCAAAAATAAATTATATGTCTGAGCATGTAGGACAGCCCGTTTTCAGGATAATGTGTTAAACAATGCAAGTAGATTATATAATAAATTACCAAAGAGAATAAGAAGTTTAGAAAATTTCAGAAGCTTTAAACAGGAGGTAAAATCATTGTTTATCTCAAATACCTTTTACTCGGTGAATGAGTTTTTAAACTCCAACCTTTATTAAAAATCGTCAAATTATGTTGGTGTTATCTTTCATCCACCTTTCCTGACAGTAAATTTTTTTTAAATTACACAACCAGAAAGTTTTAATTGTGATGGATTATGTATTCTAATTAAGTAATGGATTGTATTATGTAATCTACTGGGTTTGTCTAATTGATGTGATTTGTCTTGTTCACATTGACTATTTCTGTATCCACTGGTGTCCCAGCTATATGCGGATCCATGGAAATAATAAATAATAATAATTCAATTCAATTCATTTCTTTATAAATTATGTTTATTAATTAAATTGTACTAATTTTTTATTTTATTATTTATGTTAACTGACTAATGTATGTGATTTTAATTATGTAACTCATGTAATTTATTATACATATCTGGACACATCTATTATCAAAGGGACTATTTCCACATCCTAGATTTTTTACCTTTATGGATATATGGAAAATAAAGAAATGAATGATTAAAAAACATGGATATATATATATATAATACAGTGAAATCTCCATTTAATGCTTCATGATATAACACTTTCTGTAATTTAAAGTCCAATTTCAATGATCTCAAGTCATTCACCATACAAAATTAAAAATGTGATCTAGTTTTGTATGCAATGTCACTATTCCCCAAATAATCCTTTAATGGAGGATTCACTGTACATATAGATACAAGGCAATCGAAGGGAAATGATTCTAGCTTACTCAATAACCTGTTAAGTCTATGACTTCAAGTGATACAAACCTAAATATGGGATACAGGGCAACTTGAGATTCTCCATATGTTCACGAAGAGTATGCCAGTTATTTCTGTCAGAAAACACTTCAGCCAGTCTGTCAAATGTCTGCTTTTCCTTCTTTGATAAACACGCCCATGTTTTGCTCAACCTAAGTAACACAAAGATATGAGTGGTATGTTGAAAGAACATGAAATCATATGTTATACTGCCAAAATAAATATGCAGATAGTAACATATCACTCAAAACTCACCTGTACACAGATGCACTTTGTAAAGCAGAAATTATTGCAAAAAGTGAATGCAAATTGTTTAAATCATAGAGCTTCTTTGCAATTCGAATGAAGTGGCCTAATGTTTCTGATCGCTGCTTAGTTGATGAACCATTAAGAATTTCTTGTACAGTCCAGAAGCTGACCTGGAAATATTGAGTTGATCCTCATAATCATGTGTACAAAAACCAACCAAAAAGCAAAGAAGGTGAAACATTAATATAAATTATGTAATGCTTATATCAGTATAGTATTTTGAAATTTAAAGTATCGGGGAACATTACCAAAAATAAAAAATAGGTCAAGAATCTATTTTGGAAATGTCTCATAATACTGATTCTGAAAAATTATGTTCCTGCCTATTTAAAAAAAAAAAAAAACTGAAAATCTGGATGTCTCCCTCTTCTTCTTCTTGTAGCATTGTTTCCACTTGAAGAATGCCTGACATTCTGGAGGAACGTGTCACCTCCATCAAAGAGTCAAAGGTTTCTTTCTTAATGTTTATTATTATTATTATTATTATTATTATTAATATTGGATGAAATATATTCGTCTGAAATGTTAGAACTTCTCCAAATTACACAGTGTTATTGATACAATCCAGAAGACCACACTCTTCACCCTCAATCCACATTCTTCCATTGCAGCAAATGATCATGCTCTACACCCATATGTACAATTATGTAAAATTATACCTCTGCTGCTTACATGATTGAATCTGCGAGTGAATGCCACAACATTGGGGGCAACAGTGAGCTTATGCTTTTTGTTCCAGCCACAGCTCACAAGCTCTTCGGGTGTGATTCCTCTGAATGCTGGCATATCAAGCAATGTCAACTGACTTGCAAAATCCTCTGGGGCCACTCTCAGAGGATCAAACACAAATGAATCATAATTCCTGATTGAAGTGTTGCTTGGAAGGCTCTGTGACTTGCTGTGAGGTGCAGCACAGTGTGGGAGAGAGCTGGAATAAAGAACACAACCGTCTGTTTCACGTGTAACTACAACTATTTTTTTTAAAAACTAATGTTGTTTGGCATTTAAGTTATGTCTGCATCTTCAGCTTTAATTTTTCCTTTCATATCTGGGAAAAAAACAAAATGGTAAAAGAGACTGCTATTAAAGTTGATAACAGGAGAAGAAATGAGTTTAAAACCCAGTTAGGGTATTGCTTTCATGAGTCAATCGATGCATTCATGTGAACTGCAACTGAACAGTAGGAGGTCCGAGTGCTAGTCTTCCATCACATGACAGAAGAAAAGTGCATAATGCACTCATGGCACCTGGAAAGTGGTCATGTTTATTACAACACTGAGGCTTGTGTCCAGTCATCCCTAGTCCTCATACACCATTCATGATGCACATGGTTCTGCATTATTATGTGGGTGAGAGTGAACTGGCTTTAGTCAGAAATAAACAGACTGCTAGAATGTGGTGTTATCTTCTTCTGGGACAGCAAACAACCCTCACCACCATCATTATGTGCGAAGTTTGTTGTAAGTCTGGAGTTGTGAGGTGATGGCACAATCTCCTTATTCCCTACAACTACTATGACTATTCTTTTGTTTAAAGGGAAGAAGACACTTCAGAGATTGCAGTTTAATTTTCAGGTGCCTTCAATATGGCTATTAGAAATTAGAAATAAATGTCTGAAAGATGTACTACTCAGCTGCAACATTTTCTTGATAACTATGAAAAGAGAGAGATTCCTTTCAATTCTCAGAATGTTTCTTATTTTTCTTTAATTAAGAGAAAACAGAAGGAGACTGACTTCATAAAGGTGTGTGACGTGTGACTTTTCAACAAGTTCTTGGTTGTATTTCAAGATAGCTTCACTCCTTTTCAAGACCCCTGTGTTGATGAAAGTTCAGTACTGTTCAATGGAATGCTAAACTTCATAAAACTAACTTCATGGAACTGGGCCCTTCTTATGAAGCTGCAAATTGTGCAGCTATCCAAGAACTTCAAAGCAATTTATAAAACCTGAAGGTTCATTATCGTGTCCACAAGTGCCCTCAGGTCTGAGGTCCTATGTTACATTTTGTAACAAGCTTATTTTTTACGGTGATGTGTTGTTAGCCACATGGCCAACTCCCAAGCTGGAGGAACACTCCTTGCTGGTTGTCTGTGACTGCTTATTCAGTATATTCACAGCTACCCTCTATATCTGGAGGCCATCTGCTCCATCCGCAACCTGAGGATGTGTCATGCCGTGGTGACAAGTGACCCACCCTAACATAGCTAAACTTCAAATAATACATAGAAACAAATAAACATACAGCTTTACCCCCTCTGTAGCTGTAAAACTAGATATGTGTTGAACATTCAGAAGAAACTGTGAACACTGGAAAGTGTGACTGGAAAAGAAAATAATCAATTATGAAGATGATACACTGCAGACTATAGGAGTAAAACGGGTGCAGTAGATTGGACAGTTATGCTGCTCATTTATGTTCAGTGCATTTATAGATCTGTGAAATCATACAAAAATTGGGACTTCACATTCTTGAGGTAGTTCTGCTCAATGCAGATGCAATGTATCTCATGCAAGAATAAGAAAAGTGTGCTGCTTCAAGGTTTCTAAATGATAATCATCAGGGGGATTCTGGAAAAACACAGAGAACAATCTTATCCAGGGGTGGAAAATGTTCAAATGTGGAAATTATCAACATGTGACACATCGTCACATTCCAGATTGTGTGTATAGCATTCCTTGCAAAAGACTGCAATGAGGAAGTGTTGTGTTTATAAGTTATGTCAGGAACCCTACAACAGGTAACTGAGCCCACATATGTGTAGAGAACATGAAGTTGGACTGTGTGTCGTTTCACGCTTCAACAAATTCCACACACAGACAACAAAGTGTAGAGTGTAAGTAGCTCATTACTTTATTTGCTTTCAGAACTGAACAAGCCCAGAAGAATAATTTTCTGAAGGTGAGTACCTTCTATCATAAAGCTCTAGGCTAAGCAGTTACAATTCCAAGCCTGTGCATGAATAATTATTCCCCAGTCATTAAAGTGATCCAGTCATTCAGTGCTGTGATGCTGTGAAACTTCATGATAATCATACTCGTGTCAGCTTTCTGTTATTGGTAGTGGAGGTTCCTAATGACTGACACTTCACAAAAAGATTCCTTTTATTTTCTATGCAATTTTTTTTTTATATATATTTTGAAAATTCAACTTTATTTCAGAAAAGATTAATATGCATCCAAAACAAACAACAGACGATTATTTTGTAAGTTACATAAAGTGTAATTTTAGAGGAAAANAAACCACACAAAATGTCATCATCATCCACCCAAGTAACCAACTCTGACTCAGGTAAGGGAACCTGAGTTTAAATCTCACTAACAGTAAAGCTTCTTGCTGGATACAACACTAAGACAGCTCCATCCACCTCCCATTTTCACAACCAAGCTCTCTAAAATCAATCTTAATGTTATCCTCCTATCCCCTGCTTTTCAAGTGGCTGCCCTGTCCCTTAAAAAAAATTCTTTTGCATGATAACACATATAAACAAATTTAATTTCTTAGTTTCATGTTCAATTGCATGTTCCTGTACTGTGGACCACCTGTTAAGACTGAAGCTTTTTGAGACATACTTTCAATCCAATGGAAAAGATCAAAACTGGTAGCACAGTTGTACCACAAATTCACAACTTTATCACTGGATTTATGACATGATAACATCATACTCTTACCCATAATTATCATAGCAAGGGGGGTTTATAACTGTTTTCCTGGCAGCATGATGTGATATTTTCTTGCTTATGTCTCCAGTTGACTGTGCTGTGGGGTCCTTTGGTCTAATATAAGATTTATGATGTTTGCTCTCTGTTCCTGCAGTTTCTTTCTTCCTTAGAAGGGGATAGTCATTTCCATTGAATGTGGGAACTACAGTTTCAACATCACTAAGTGGTGATTTATCCCTGCACCTTCCATCAACACTTTCTTCATGATTCTGTAGGAACAAATGCAATAAATCAATGCTGTAACAATAAGGCTCTTCTTATAGGCTACTGGGTTGAGAGACGGGAAAACACACTACTTGCATTTGTTAAAAGGAAAAATAAGATACTTGTCCCTGGAATACTTAGAATTGAATTACTTAAGTTAACTTCAAATATGACACATACTTGGAAAAGTCAATTACACAACACTTCAAAATTGGACACCAACAATTCACTTCAAAACATTTTCATTCTTAAAATGTAAATAACAAATAAACCTTAAAACTGTGAATGCCAGAGCAAATCCCAGCTATGCTACCCTGTCAAACATGATCTTTCTAAGACACTTCCTTTTAGCCCTCTATGCTATTCTGTTCATTACTCTCCTTGACATTTCAGCAACATGAAAAAAAGCAGGAAGGTCATTCAGAGTTCAGACTCTTGGAATATATATAAGATGAGAAATGGAAAGTATTCCAGTTGCTTCTCATGACAGAGAAAGACAAGTGATCTGATCTGATCCAGTGCTTCCTTGGCCTTCCAAAACAGCAACAACTCTGAAGAGAAAATTCCCTGCTATGTCTACATAAAATTTCTTGAAACACAAATATTCATAGAACTTCTCAAATAAGACCAAAGATATAACAATGTGTTTGTACTTCTACTTCCACATACTGAGAATGGCACACATTTATAAAAGAAAATGTAAAAAAGTCTTTTAAACCAATGCATCCTCAACTTTCATTATTACCATAATTGTATCAACATTCTTCCAAATCCTGGTATTTAAATAGAAAAAAATTACAAATAATGTTTTCTTGTATATCTCTATGGTGAATACTGCTTCATGGACTGAAAATCTGGAAACTTTTGCTTGTGATTCAACAAATGATACACCAGAAACTAACTAAATTAACTAGCAAACTAACTGCATGGTCAGGTTCTTTGTTGAAAGGCTTATGCTTATTAAGATGGCCAATAAATTACCTGCTCTTATGGAACCTAAACAAACATCGTGCTTGCCATTTGAACTAATCATGGGCAATTTTAATCAAGTTGACATTCTCACCACCTTTCTAAGATTCATTTCAATATTATTCTCCAATCCATAACAAACACTTCCTCTTTGGTTTCCTAATAACAATTTTACATCTCTTTTTCTTATGTATGCTACACATTCAATGTGCATCCCCTAAGCAATCACTGGTGGTGCATTAAAATTCTGAAACTCCTCATAATGTAATTTTCCTCTATCCATCTGTTACTTTCCCTCTCTTATATTCAAATAATTGGCTTACTGCACTAATGGAACTGCTGAATATGTTCTTCACTTAAAGCAAAAGACAAAAGTTTCACACCCATATAGAACAACAGGTAAAATGTACTTCTTTTGGCTTATTTTGGACTTCACCCATCGTCTGGTATGTAAAAGACAAAAAACCACGACGTTTCGGAGACTGGATCTGTCTCCGTCTTCAGGTGGATAGGGAAAGATATACCTACTCAGTTTGGCTCCTTAGAAAGAGCTAGTCTCAATCACTGGACTACCTGAGGACGGAAACAGATCCAGTCTCCGAAACGTCGTGGTTTTTTGTCTTTTACATACCAGACGATGGGTGAAGTCCAAAATAAGCCAAAAGAAGTACAGTATACACCATCGTCAGAATCCTTTCAAGTCTATCCAGGTAAAATGTAAGTATACAAATGTGTATTTTAATCTTTAGATTCATGGATATGGTGCAGGAAGATAAGGAATTGCATAATGATGAATGCAAGCACTTAATCAGTTTAATTTTCTCACTACACCAAAGCCAACCGGAGCTCACCTCCGTAATGCGCAGTGCAGACAAACTGTCGCAAGATACATCACGAGGCATCTCAGAGTATCGCATCTTGGCCATGGGCTCTATCAGCACATCACAGTTGCAGGCTCCACCCTTCTCTCAAATCATCTTTCCTGATGACAGATTGAAAAAAGCAATATATACACAGTTTTCTGGCGAAGTTCAACTGCCGATACAACATATTCAGTCCCAGAGGTGAAGAATACTGGATCTGAATGTGTTACACAAGACAAAAGCACCATATATAAATGTTCTCCAGTATAAACAAACTTACAAGTTTTGTTTATCAGTTCTCAGATGAAAACTAAATGATATGGTGAAAGAAAGAAGGCTTTAACGCAAACTGCTTACTGGGCAATCAACAGAGGCGAGGAGATGGTAAACTCAACATAGACTATGTAAAATCGAATTAGGTAGAAAGACGATCCAGAATGATGAGAATAGGACTGAAAGAATGTGGTTGTGGCATATTTCAAGGTACTATTCTGATACACGTGTATGTGCATGGAAGCAGTAAGGAGTTTAGAAGCACTTCAACAGCATGGTTGTGTCTAACCGGAGATACTGAAGAAAACCATAAAATATTTCTGACAGGATGACGTGAGCAAGTTTCCAGCCAAAGTCGCATAACACCGCACAAACCAACTCGGGTTCTTGCAACGTAATTACAGAATTATACGTGCGCACGCACGTACTCACGCACGCAGTACGAGCCTGTTTTTCTTTACAGCAACCAATCCAAAAGCGTAAATTATATTTTTAAATCACACTATTTTTCAAAGAAAATAAGAGCACAGCAACAAGTTTGAAGCAGTTTAAAAAAGTGCATGTTGTCTTTTCTCTTGATTATATCAAGCTGCTATATGCTATGATTCCCCATGGCCAATGAATATTCTATACCTTAGGCATTAAGGATATTAAATTTTATATTAGGAATTCAATCTCAAAGTGAGATTTCTGTATGAAATTAATCATGGTTACTATTTTACTTACAACGTTTTCAGCCTACTTTCCATATTTTGACAAAATAAAATAAAAAGAGGCTTATGAGATCACCTTAGTGTCTGTCTGTGTATCCCCTTAAGTTTTCCTCTTCTGTGTATCAATGGAAAGTAGGTGATTAGTTCTTCCAAGAACTCCTTGTTAAAACATCTGAACCATTCTACATGCGAAGATTAAGCTGATGTATCTATTGAACTAAATGCTTTGGGCTCCAATCCAGCAAGCTCTTCAGATAACTACTGTGATGAATCTTGTGAACTTGATGTCTGTAGCAGTGTAAGTAATTCAACATGTATACACATCTGTTTGATGAGAATATCTCCAGACTGCTGCCTCATCTAAGCGCATCACCGCTCACACACTTAAAACAGCATTCATATGTGGTTTATCAAACTGCAAGAAGTTCAAAACAATTTATTTCATTTTTTAACTCATGAAACCTACGGGTTTTAACGTATACTTTCATGGTCAATACGATAATCGGCTTGCAGCTCCATAGCTCTATCAACTGAGTTATCCCCGAGCTAACCACATTTTTTTCCTCTCTCTATGGCTTTACAGCCCTTTGGACATTGGCGACTTTTTAAAGTTTCTTAATCTTACACACAGTCGGTACGACTCCTTGGATGGGGGATGAGCCCATCGCAAAGCCGCTACATACACACAATACAACAGAAACGCAGAATAAACTCCCACAGACAGGGATTTGAACCCACGATCCCAGTGATCGAGTGGGCGAAGACGGTTCATGCCTTAGACCGGGCGGCGACTGTGATCGGCCCACAAACAAAAACATACACAAATGAAGACAAGACAAGCATGGGCGTACAGCAGGATAAAGTAACTGGCCATTTCCCTATGGAATATTTGGTACCCTTGTTTTCTTCTGTTAAATGTCAAGTGCAGCACCGCATTATGAGAGGACTGCCATGGAGTGGTAAAACTGACAGAGGGGTGAAACGCCCAAGTCAACTAATTCCGGCTCCAGAATGTTCAGAAAGTAACAACCGAGGATGCCGTACACTCATATTTATTACTTCGAGACACACAATGACAGGGGCCATGTCACGGGCCATGTAAATCTGTAACTGATGAGAGAAACCCGCTGTTACACAGCCAATCAAATCGCACACATCACAACCTGAAATGTTACTAAACCTTCTTTGTACTGACTACTATAATTGCTAGTAATACGCAGAGATGGGTAACCCTTGAATAAAAACGCGGTTTCTATTTTCAGAATGTTCTGGTCCAATTAAATGTTAATACAAAAAATCCTAAGTGTGTACCAGAACAAAACGTGGACGATTAATGGCACCGGTTGACGTATGCGCAAGAAACAGATGTGATGCATGTGTATTTACGTACCAGTGAGATAAACGCGTTACTTGTTCATTGCCCTCGTGTGTAAGTTCTATGGTAGTTTAATGAACGTTTTCGTAAAGAGACTGAATACACGTGGGCTATGTTCCTGTTTATGAAACTGACTTCTATGACTTCACTGTATTATATGTTTCAGTTTCACGTTGTCATTCCTAAGCCAAAAGGCTGTAACTGAACATAAACATAATTCTATTCTAACATTTCTCAATAAATTTAGAAGCCGATGTTGGATTGTAAAGTAAACTTGACGTTAAAAGATTTCCTGTAAATTCTCTGAAGATTCTGTCACACATGTGATCTTTTGGTTATTTATCGGGTCTGTATCTTATTTAATTTGAAAACTACCACCATACCTCTGCTTTCGAAAACAATTACAGTCAAGACACACACACTGAGGGGCCCCAAAAATGCACACACATTTAAACGTGCAAAATACCTGCTTAAATAATTTATTGGTATATCTTCGGTTCAACTTTGAAAACTTCTTCTATAACACACTTTAACACGGGTCATCTACGGCCATTTTCAAAGTTGAACCGAAGATATTCCAATAAGTTATTTAAGTAGATATTTTGTACGTTGAATTGTGCATATGTTATTTTGGTCCCTCTGTATATATATATTTTCAATTGACCTAATCCTTCCAGCCGCACTATAGCCCTGGGGTCGACTCAGCCTATAACAGAAATGAGTACAAGGAATATTCCTGAGGGTAAAGGGCGACCGGCGCGTAAGGCTGACAACCTTACCGCCATCTGTGAGTCGAGTGTTTAGAGAAAATGTAGGAGCCTCAACATCTCATAACCCTATGGGCTTCCACGACCTGTTAAGGGGATATCTTTACTTTTACTTTTTTTACTTTACTGTATACGTATATACGTATCAAAACACGATTTCACTACTTGTTATGCATGAATATGAAACACTCTCCCACTGCTAGGGAAGAATACGAGCTAGAACTGTTTGGAAAAAGGTGATCAGGAATATATCTGGACCTAAACAGGACATAATTGCGCAATCTGGAATGTTACATTATGAAGGACGTCGTGACGTAAGCCTACAGGTCACCAATACTGTTAGTATAATGGAATTTAGGATGCTTCGATGGCTTGGTCATGTGTCTACGTTGGAGACAACGAAAACATACAGAATTTAGATGCTGGAACTTGTTAAAAAACGTCGACTTGAAGACTAACAAGGGAGGATAAGCTTAAAACGGTTCTTGGAGAGGTCAGCTGTGGTGAAGGAAAGGGCAGGAAACTGGTTAAAACCTATGTCCAGTGGCGAACTTTGGGTACTCAGGTGTCGAACCTTCGCATTCTGCTACCAGTGTCCATTGGTCACTTGACTTCGAAACTTTGAAAAAGTGGGCTCGGTATGAACGCAGCTTTTACGGCTTTCAACCTTCCATATGTATACGATTACATATCAAAATTGTGCATGCAACAAGCAAAAGTCATACAAAATCATGAGAATGAACACGTGCTCAGCATAGGACAAGGCGAAGCCAGACACAGAAAATATATGAGGCTTAAACTTTTCAGTGGCCAAACTTACGACCGTTCAGGTGACTAAGCGGCCGTTGTAGCATAAGTAACACAGACACGATCTGCTTTGCAAAGCGTGGACTGAAAGGACTTGTACATATCGTGCAAAAGGAAGAATCTTCAATGCCATGGCTATATGTGCGATACGTACGCTTGACAAAAGCAAAACGAAGCCTATTCATAAGACATAAACCCATCATCTCGTCAGAGAGTATGTTACATAGGGACTATGACCGCTTGACGCCAAGATGAACTGAACTTTGAAATGCTGCACATTACAGGCCGAACTCTTGACTCCTGGTACACTAAACCTCTCACATTTGGAAGAATGATGAACGATCAAAGGATCAGAGACTGAACTGTACGCTTTTCAGAGCATGAAATTTCACACAAATTTTGTACACACCATTTGAACCGAGTAGTGCGGAATGCAACAGTCGTACAGTAGCTGACCTGAGACGCATAATGTATATCGGCCGCAACATGCCAGAAATATGATAACTGTTAAGGTACATTATGGATGACAGATGAGTATATGGTGGAATTAAATGTAATGAAAGGGCGCTTTAGAGTATTTTCTCACCCACATTCTGCGAAGGCTGCAATTCAACTCCGCGCTATGTACATAAAGGAATTTCTTCTTTCAGTACTTATACTCACTAATTCGTTGTGATATGATGTTCTCGCAACACTTAACGCCAAGCGCAGTCTTCTGGGATGTGACGCCATGTGATCTGCCAGATGGGTACCCATCTAACACTCTATACGGCATCACATCCCAGAAGACTGTGATCATGACAACTAACAGTCATACATTTCATCATCAAATCAAATGCTCGGCACAGAACTCCCTCCAGCAAACGTCGTGTCAAGTCCACCTTCGAATTCGGGGAGCTGCCAGATTCAAATACTGACGGAAGACGCGGTTATTCTGATGGAAATTATCATGGTTTTCTCCAGCATCCTGTTCTCACACATCATTAACCTATGCCCAAGATTCACACCCATACAAAACTGAGAGTAAAATGACAGTTATATAGATTCTTTTATGTTGTAAGGTAGCAAACGAGAAAAGAAAAGCTTCTGACCTGAACCATATCAAGTAATTTCTGAATAAAATTTTCTCGTAATTTCTTCATGAATACAATTCTGATTTGTTACCGACATTCTCAAATATTTAA